CTATTCAGCGTATTCGTATACGCCGCGCATCAATACACAGCGGAATAGCATCGGATCTGCATCGTATCTGAGCGGCGGTTCCGGATCTGCACTCAATTCTGGATATCGAAATAGTGCATCGTATTTGAGCGGCTCCAATTATGATTCAGTTTCATACGGCCGATGCGGAGTGAGTGTTTACTTTAGTCTTAATTATCGCTTTAGCCACACACACCTTTTATCCCGAAACCGAACCCCTTTTACTTCCACCTTTGATTAATTTTTGATGTACATGCATACATACATATACATACATATGTGATGTACAATTGGTGGCAGAACAGAGCACTATATAGTATTCTGTATTATTATGTATTATGCTGGGCAATATGTATATTAGTGTAGATCCCCTATCACCTTAAAAGAAAACTAAAAGGCTTCACTCTCGAACTCTCCAAACTATTTGGGCTTTAAACCAAACACACAAAATATCCATACGCACAATCGCACATCTCTACACATACTCGAATCATTTGGTGAGTTCTGTGTGTCAACTAGAGTACTCTATTACAATAGTCAAGGATTCGTCGTGTCTGTCGTAATTGTATAATTGTATTTACTGTACACATATAGCTTATACACTATACATGCACACATGCATACATGTTTGTCAAATATATATACATATATAAAGACTGTTCCAAAAATGCTTTCTTTTCAAATCCCACAATATCATATTTTTATTTATCTCACGCAATTTACAATGCTAAGGATAAAATATATATGTGAGTTATCTAGTTTGAAGTCGTCTCTACCCTGACCAGCAGAGCTATAACTTGGGCCACACCTCTTGAGCAAGCGATAATGTCATATCCGCCCAACTGGCATTCCATTGTTGTCAAGCGTAAATCCCTATGGGGCATACGTCACGTTAAATAGACCTTCAGTTCTGCTTCTTCTTTTCCTTGGGAATCGGTTTTTTGAAGAACTCCGAACATTCTACATTTTTCAGGACACAAAAATGACGTTCACATAAAAAAAAAACTATTTACATTTTTTTTTTTTTTTTTTTTTTGGTATTTGTTGTTTTTATACCAGAAAAGTCGAAAGACGACTCGATTTTTGGTGTTCATCAAAAATATATATATAGATTTTATAGGCCCAACCTTTTAATGCATATAAGTGTATTAAAAATATGTTAATAATTTACAGTTTTTGTAAGAAAAGTAAAAGTAACAATTTATTTTCGTGAGGTTTTTAATTACAGCAATACGGAACAGTCATATACGTGTAGGTGTATATACAAATGTATGTGTGTGCTTGATATCTGCCTTGGTAGCTGTGCGTGTGCTTAATACATATGTATGTATGTATGTGTGTGTGTGTGTGTCTATGCAAAGTGCGCTCGCGCGTGTGTGTGTGTGTGTGTTTGTGTCTTTAGTATATAAAACTATTTTTAATCAGCTTTGACTGCGCGTTTCATGTTGTGCATTATCCAAAAGTCACAAGTAGCCCATGACATACACTTACCTGGTCGCAAAACCGAGACCAAACACAGCCACAGCCACAGCCACAGCTACAACCACCCACTGTCCGCCCACCTTTTCACGCACATTCGCATACGTACATATGTACATGTGTTTACATGTGTGTGTGCATATGCTTGATTGTCATATCTAGCCAGGCACGCCCATGTTGGCTCTGCATAAACGCATGGCAGTTTGCGCCCCTTCCATTCCCTACACATACACCCACTAGAGCTTTAACTGTGTATTTACCGTTCTTTTTCTGACACTCGTTTGACAGTTGGCGGCATTTTGAAGTTACATTTACAGTTATTGCAAACTTGTCATTTGTTTTCGTTTCGTCTTGTTGTTGTTCTTTTGCTGTTAAGCGGTCACACATATGTATATGTGCATACATGCATATGTAAGTGTGTGTACGTGTGTGCGTGTGTGTTGAAAGCTGCGATAAGGCGGCGAATGCGTCATGACCACAAACATAGACCCACCCGCCGTGCCACGGCAATGGAATGTTTTCGCCAGGCCAAACCACTTGTTGGCACAGCTCCAATGGCACCAACAACAGCAACAACAACAGCAACATCAGCAGCGACACCAACTGCAACAACAACCCCAGCTACTGCAGCAACAACAACAACAGCAAACGTGGCTCGCCCTTGTGCTATCCACATACATACATACATACATATGTATGTGAAAATATTTGCTGTTGGCATCGGTCGGCATTAAAAATTCAAAATTTCCCAGTATGTTTAATGTGACGATGCATTCATTGTTCGCAAGTGTGTATGTGTGTGCGTGTGTGTGTGTCTGTGTGAGGCATAAAAACATGTGCACACGTATTTATATCAAATATATGACATATGCATGCGTATGTACTATGGATGTATTTGTCATAAATCTGCGAAAGGAAAAAAAAAACATATAGGGCGTTCCATCAACTGATTAACCAATTTAACGCATGACTTATCGATGTCGATAACAAATTGACGTTTTATCGTTCGCTTGTTTTCGATGGCAATCGAACTGGTGCAAGTCATCGCCGCCATTTTTCGACTTCATTAATCATTTGTATTGGTCGCCCACGAATTAAAACGCTTTGGTTCCAGAGCTTATTCTTAATTCTGGCAGTTCGCAATCCTTATACAAAAAAAAAAAAAAATGAAAATTTATGATTGCAATAAACATTATTTTATGAATTGAGTCATACGTTTTTCGAAAAAAAAAACAAATGTATTTAAAATACAAAATACAATGATCTTTATATGTGGACAGCTACCATTTAACATATTTTTTTTTTTTATATTTGCGACGTTTTCTAAACCATAATCGAAAAAACGACTTAATTCTGACTAAACCTGAGAGGCAAGTGTGCCTGGAGCGTGTCCTTGTCAAAGTTTCTGTACAAAGTTTATCAAACGTTTCATTTGCTCTTGTCGCAAATTCCATAAATAGTGGCAATGCTGCAACGATACAAAGTTGACAATGTCTGGCAACTGTGGCGAAATGCAATTAAACTAAACAGCAATGTTAAGTTACATGCTATGTTAAACGAACATTAATCAATTGATGATGGACCTAATTTTACAAATGGAGGCGCGCGTGTGAAGTCGTGTTGCGCCCATTGCATACTTATGGGCGGCTTATGCAAATATTTGTTCCTACTGGATATGCGATTGTTTTTTCAATGTCTTTCGACTTTTTCCTTTTTACTGCATATTTTTCTTGGACTTTTTTTTTTTTGTTATAATTTGAATTTTGGTTTTGTGTTGCTGCCCGTCATGTGAAACACATAAAATTATGATCGTTAACCGTTAACCGTTACCGTTATATCACACAACCAACCAAACATCGCATTCAACATGTCACAACATCTGTATAAATGTTTCAACAACAACCATGACACGAACAAACATGCAAAACATGCGAAAAACAAAAAAAAAAAAAAACGTTTAGTTGCCGCGTCGAGGAAAGGGCACAACATCGAATGGCGACGTGTCAACAACAAGCTCGACAGGCACAACAACAACAACAACATCAACAGGCACAGCAACCAAAAAAGACGATTGGGGCTTAAAACAACGCCGAGATGCTGCCAAAAAGCTGCCACCGAGCGGTGCAGATGGCAATGGCAACGATGCAACAGCTAACGGCAGCAGCTCAAAACGTTTGTCCAGCTCATGCTCATCATCATCCCTAGCACATTTTGTTGCCACATCTGCCCTGGACATATACGAAAAGTACAGTCCGGCCAACTATAAACCCAACTGTGAACTGTCACGTTCCAGATCGGCGGTCAATGAAGCCGACACTGACAACCGCAACAACAACAGCAACAGCAACAACAGCAACGATAACAGCGCCACCTGCACCGTTACACTGGACAGACCGCGCAGCAGCAGCCGCTACAGTCGCCTATATAGCAGCAACAGCGATGCCGGCGGCGCGGATACATCGGCCAGCGAAACATCACATCTACGGCAGCGCAGCGGTTCAGGCAGATACACAATAAGCGGCAGCAACAGCAGCGGCGATGTGCCAACGGCGACTTTTACGCTGCGCAGCAATCGTACGCGACGCAACGCTGCACAGGATGTGGCAGCGAAGAGCATTACCAATGGCCATGCGGCTGCGCTGGAGGCGAACAGCAATGGGCTGGACGCCAAGCTCAATGGACTATCGCTGCTGTCGACATCGCCCAAACGCAATGCCATCTACGAGAGCTCCAGCGTGACGGCAGCGGACACCACAGACGATGCGACGGCGACAGTTAATAGCCTAACGGTGACAGCTGGCAAGGGCAAGGCCAATGGTGATGTCAATGGCGCAGCTGATGGCGACGTCGATGCTGATGGTGATGTCAGCGCCACAGCAACGCTGACGCTGGCAGAGGGCGCCGCTGCGCGCAGCAAGGTAAACGAGCTGAAAATCCAATAAGCCAGGATATTTAAACAACTGACAGCCAAAAAAAAAAAAAAAAATGTATAATATTAATACTAATCGCATGCCAGGGTTGCCACCCGCGACGAGCAGCTGCAAAGCGATAACTGTTAACTAATTATCGATAAGCATAAGCTCCTTTGTGTGTGTGTGTGTGTGCGTGTGTGTGTGTGAATAACGAATATATATTGTTGCTATTGCCTTGCCCAAGCCAAAGGGCCCCACCACCCACCCACCCACCCGGTCCCTTTAACATTTGTGTTAGGATATTTTTGCTACACCGCGGTCGCGGTCGGTGAAGCAACCAACCCGATTAATCATCATGCATTTATATATTTATATATATACATTAAAGCTCACTTGGCATTTGCATATATACATTGTTTCTCTTGCTCCATTTTCTCAGTTTTGTACAATCTGGCTTTTCTTTGTTATTCGTTTTGTGGCTAAACCGTTACACGCATTTATTCGCAATTAATCGATATACATCAATATATATGTATTTCTATATATTTTTAGCTAAACTCTTGCAGATCGCGTCCCTTTTAACTAACCAAACTAACTCACTTGATTGTTAACTTGATTAAACCAAGTAATTTGAAAGCTAACGAAGACAAAAATCATATAACTATATTACCCAGAGCAATCGAAACCAAAAACCAATAATTTGATCGATAACGCAACTGCAATCGCAAATTTGTAGAACTGATCGAATCGATAATAATTTAGGCAGGCGTTCCAAACAAAGTTCAAAACTAACCATATTTGAAAAATTTTAGTTTAACGCAGTAGTTTGTATTTGCAAACAGTCCAAATGTGTGTATAAGGTAGTTTTGAGAGTATGTATTTTTGGTAAGCACAACACACCTTTTCAAATTCGATAAACAAAAAAAATTGAACACAACAACAACAAGAAGAACATCAACTATCCGTAACTGTAATCACAACAATAATAATAGAACAGAAAGAATTATTAATAATAGCAAGGCGTGTTAAATAAGTAAGAAAAAACAAGGCATTGCAAATACATAAAACAAGGAAAGTGTAGAGAGAAAGAAAACCACAATTCAGCCGCAGCAGCAGCAGCCGCCAATCGACAAGGAGCCGTTGAATGATGTTAGACATTAAGAAAACCAGAGGATTCCATAAGATTCCAGCGTCCAAACTGCAGCGCGAGGCAAACACTGCGGCAGCAGCAGCAGCGGCAGCGACAACCGACGGCCAACAGCAAAGAGGCAGCAATATTAGTCAGCAGCACCAGCAACATCAGCAGCATCAGCAGACGGCGTCGCGACACGCCAAATCCTTGAAAGCCAGCGGCGCTGGCGGCGTCGGCATTGTCCACAAGCAAGCGGCTGCTCTCAAATACGTTGCCAGCAACGGGACCGGACCAAGCGGCAGCAGCGTGCGTGCAGCCGGACAAAATTCGAGCACAGTTGCCGGTGGCGGCGGCGGCGGCGGCGGGGTTAATCCTGTGCGTGCGGCCAATCAGCGGTATTTCTTGGTATCCAGCTACAAGGATCCCAGCTTTCTCAAGGCCGAATGCGAGCTGGCGCATGCCCAGGTGACGCTCAAACAGACGCAAGCTGGCAGAAGCAATAAGCGCAACAAAACCAGCGACGATCACAAGAATAACAACAGCAACAACAACTACAGCAGCAGCAACGGCAACAACAACGTCAAACTAGCAGCAGCTGCAGCCGCATTAGCAGCAACAAACGGGGGCATTGTGGGCAGCGAGATTCCATTGCATGACATGCGTCGACCGACGACGCTCAATGGCAACAAAGCGGCCGGCGCGAACAGCAGCAACATCAACGCCAGTAGAACAACAACAACAACAACAACAACAGCAGCAGCAACAACAATAGCTGGCGGCAACAACACAGCCGTACACAGGATCGATATTAGATATAGCCATAGCCATAGTCATAGCCAGGGCAAGCAGCAGCAGACATTGGGCCAAAAGGCAACAGTTGGAGCAACAGCAGCAGCATCAGCATCAGCAACAGCAACAACATCTTCAGTGGCGGCGGCAGCAGGCGGACGACTTGCGGCTGGCAAACTGAAGCCGCTTGTGCTGCAGTGCAATAATAATCACAGCGCCATGAATAGTCACAGCAGCTACAGCAATAACATTAACAACAACAACAGCAGCAGCAGCAGCAACAACGGCAACAGCAACAACAACAGCATGCAACGCCAGCAACAACAGCAACATCAGCAACACGATGACATTAGCTATATTGATAGCGACGATACACCGACAAGCACAGCAGCAACAGTTGCTGCTGCAGCAGCAACAACAACAGCAACAGCAGCAGCAGCAACAACAACAACGTCTGGAGCAACAACATCGGGCCAAAAGCTGGCCAATATTTGTTATTTTAAGCCCATAACGCCGCCCTTGCAGCTGCGAAGCCAACAGCTGAGCAGCAGCAGCAGCAGCAGCGGCGGCGGCGGCGGCGACAAGCCAATTGGACACCGTGCAATGCGGCCCAAGTCCACAATCATCTCGTTTTCCAATTCGAATTTTGCGGCCAGCTATGAGAAATTCAACAACTATAAGCACACAAATGGCGAACAGCGGCCCAAGGAGCGGGAGCGGGAACGGGAGCGTGAACGGGAGCGAGAGAACGGCAGCGGCAATGCCAGCAATGCGCGTCGCTACGGCATCGATTCACTCAGTATTAAGGCCTCCATTGAGAAGTTCAATAATCTCAGCGAACAGAAGCGACAGCCAGCCCCGTTGCGCAATAATCCAACAGCAACAGCAGCAACAGCAACAACAACAGCAGCAGCAGCAGCGGCGGCGGCGGCGGCGTCGGCAACAACAGCAACTGCAGCAGCAACATCGGGCAGCAGCAGCAATCTGCAGCAGCGCTACAGCGGCGACATGGAGAACGCACGGATCGCGGCCGGTTATAGCAGCTCCTTGACACGGGCAGCGTATCGGACCAGCAGCGGCAACAATGCCGCAACAACCACGACGGCAACGACGGCAGCCGTGGCGCCCATGAGCAAATCGGCCAGTCGGATTGCGCACGGTCTGTTGGCCAAGGCGGCGACCAATAACGATTGTCAAGCTGGCCAAGCGATTGCGGCGGCGACTGCAACGCCCAGCAGCCACAAGGTAAATCTTCATCAACATCATCATCATCATCAGCAGCATCAGCATCATCAGCACAACAACGATGCGGGCGGAGCAGCAGCGGCAGCAGCAGTTGCTGTCTCTGCCAGCGCCCAGGGCGCCTACTCTTCCTCCTCCTCCTCCTCCTCCTCCTCTGCCGCCGCCGCCGCCGCCGCCGCCACAGTCAACAGCGTCACAGCCAGCGACAGCGTAAGTGGCGCCCAACTTTTCTTGGGGGTGGCGCACTCATTGCGCTCTTTGCCCAATCTCTCTTTCTCTCTCTTTCTCTCTATCTCTCTTTTTAGTCTCATTGTGTGTTTCAGTTTATAGTTTATAAAGTTTAAAGCAACAGCTAAAGGAGCTGCGTTTTTGAGTAGCTCCATTGACCATTTTTATCACCAGCACAGAATACACCGTAATCCGTTTTTAGTTTTCAGCATATCCTGATTTTTGTATGTATGTGCGTCTGTGTGTGCGTGTGTGTGTGCGTGTGTGTGTTGCGTTTTTGTTATTGTAGCTTATTATATTTTGATATAGGTTTTTCAGAATAACGCGCCTTGATTTCGAATTGGATTTTGGTTTCGTTTTGCCTATCGATATCGATATCGTCGTATCGATAATTAATCAATATGGTTTAATTTTGTCTCCCTCTCGCTAACCCCTGCTCGTTCGCTCGCTCGCTTCCTTGCTCAACTCGCCAGCACATGCACAATTTTATGTTTTGGACATGTTTCGTTGTTGTTGCGTTTCGTTAAGTTTGCATGCTTGTGTTTTCTTTTAACCGCCAAACACACTCACACTCACTCACTCACTCACTCGCTCGTTCGCTCGTTCGTTCGTTCATTCGTTCGTTCGCTCGCTCGCTCTCACACCAATACAATGCCAGCCAATTTCAACACACACATGCATCCCTTTCTAACGATCGATTGCTCGATGCTTTTGAATAACTGTTATTTTGTCATTGCGATTTTTTCTCTTGTATTTTTGTATGTACATCGATAAATCGAATTTGTATTTCGTGCAGGTATCACGGAATAGCGGAGGCACCGTTCGTTCAGTGCTACCACCTGTCTCGCCAACATCCAGCCGCTATTGGGATCGGGACAGCGGACGGAACAACACCAACGCCACATCCTCTTCCATTGGCACATCATCGTTGAGCAATAAGCATAATAATCTCGATGATGGCTACAAAAGCACCCGTGACGAGAAGTTCGAGGGTGAGTTAACTGATCTAATCCAAGCATTTGCGTAGTTTTGGATAGTTTCAGTTTTTTCAGTTTCGATTGGAAAGTTTGCTTTTGAAATATGAAAAGGTTAAGTAGGCCTTCACTTATCTCGATGCGAGTCAAATACAAATGGCTCGAAAAAGTACATTATATGTGTTTATAAAATAGAGCACACACAAGTTATGTACATACATTTAATAATTTTCTCGTAACTTCAGTTCGCCTTTCAGTAGGCTGTGCTCGGCCTGTAGGTATTAGATGTCAGTTAGATTATTCCAGTATGCCAGTTGACATAGTGAGCCAGATATACATACGTAGGAACTACCGCATAAACTAGATCTCAAAACCATTCAGAATGCCGGCCGTCAATCGAACACGAAGAAGGCAAATCCATAACACGCCATCCGAATTGGGGAGTGCCTTTTGGGCCACGCCCAGTTAGCTATAATAACTCAAATGGCTTTTAATAATTAAAAATTTTGATTATATGCCCTCACCCACAGGTCTATGCGGTCTGAGAAACATTGGAAACACTTGCTTCATGAACTCGGTCATCCAATGCCTGAGTCACACGACTGAGCTGACGCGCTTTCTGCGCGCACATCATACCAGCACGCGCACGGCAACCTCCAAGGATCAGCAAATACTACACGGTAAGCGATCACTTGAGTATTCCGATTCCGTTGCCGATTCCGATTCCGATTCTATAATATTTGACACGATTTTATTTTAGAATTTGCCAAACTCATACAGGAAATGTGGACGACAAATGTGCACAGCGTAACGCCGATGGAACTGAAGCGCGCCTTTTCGACAAAGCATCGCATGTACAGTGATTACAATCAACAGGATGCGCAGGAGTTTCTGCGCTTCTTTCTTGACTCGCTGCACTCGGCGCTCAACACCGGCGTCAAAGGTGAAACGCTTAACATTGATGATAATCTCAGGTGAGCACTAAAACTAATCTAAACAATAAATGTTACTCAAGCCGATTGAATTGACTTATTTTAGTGACAATAAGAAGGCCGATCTGACTTGGGAGTGGTATGCTAGGCATGAGAATTCCCTGATACGTGATCTGTTTGTTGGTCAATTGAAGAGCACACTAAAGTGCACAACGTGTGGAAATACAAGCGTTACCTTTGACCCATTCTGGGACTTGAGCGTGCCACTACCATCGTCATCGCGCTGCAAACTAGAGGCCTGCTTAGATCTGTTCATACGCGAAGAGGTGCTAGACGGTGACGAGATGCCCACATGCTCCAAATGCAAGACACGCCGAAAATGTACCAAAAGCTTTACCATACAGCGTTTCCCCAAATATCTGGTGATACGTAAGTGCCTACATGCAATCAATATATATATATATATATATATATATATATATATATATATTAATTATGCCTGTTTTAGATCTCAAACGCTTCTCTGAAACGCGCTGGAGCAAGCTCTCGAATATTGTTGAGTTCCCCACAGCGGATCGTGAGCTCAATATGGCCTCATATGGCGCCAACGCAAATTCGAATGTGCATTATTCGCTCTATGCGATCTCCAATCATATGGGTATGTCGCGATCACTTTAACCGAGCTCGCTTCTCCGTTAACTTAACTCAACTTTACGATTGTTATAGGCTCAACGGCTGGTGGTCATTATGTGGCACTCTGTAAGCATCCGGTCTCACACAAGTGGCATGAGTTCAATGATAATAGGTATATACAATGTTTATTTATTATATATTTGATTAATAATAATTGATAATTGCAGTGTCAGCGATGCTATACCTGAAAACTGTCTCGTTTCATCCAGTGCCTATATTTTATTCTACGAACGAGCGTAAAGCTAACTCCCCACAATTACCTAGCAGTTGAATCCAATAAGCATTAACAACAGCAACAACAGCAACAACAGCAGCAACAGCAGCAACAACAATACCAAAAGCAACAGCAACACCATCTTAAGCGGCAACAATAACAGCAGCTACAACTGCAACATAAACAGAAAAAAAAATGAATACAACAAAAAACATAAGAAGAAAAAGAAGTGCAATAACAACAGCAAAGTCACAACACCTTAGTAAATGTTTCGTAGAACTTTGCAATAATGCAAACGTGCGTAAATTAAAATTAAAACTTAACTATAAACTAATTCTTAACACAAATCCAATGCCAAATAACAACAAATGGTTAATTGGACGGCAAGCGTGTTTGACGATCGTTGGAGCTGAATGATGTACATAAGAGATGGCTAAAAAAAAAACCCAAAACAGAAAACCAACAACAAGAACATATGAGACAACAACATTCAAAAAAAAAAAAAAAAAAAACAAACAAACAAACAAAAAAAAAGAATGATGAACGAACAAAAAATAAGAATTATAACAATTTATGTAACACCGCTTTCGGCAAGCCAAACAACAGCAGAAGCAACAGCAATCGCTCTATACTAAACACAAATAAACAATAGCAACAGCAACAGCAACAAAAACAAAAACAAAACACGCAACACACAAAAAAAGGAACCACACGACACAACAACAAAATTGTTATTTTTACCAAATTTTGTCTTGCATTTCTCTGGCATATATTTAGTTTGTTTTCTAAGCGTCTTTAACGAAAATTTTGACCCGTCTCCATTGAATATATCACACAGAAAGAAAGAAAGAAAGAAAGAAAAACCCGTACATTAACACATTGTGTACAGTATATAAATTTATATATATATAAATACATATACATTTATATATATATATATGTATATATATATGGAGCGATTTGCCAATTCAAACTAGATGAAACAATGCAACTATATATAATTGCCACATTTTGGTTTGCCGAAAGTCGTGTCAAGTGGTTGTGTAAAAAAAAGGAAACTAAATTAAAAACAAAAAAAAAAAACAAAACAAAAACAAAAACAAAACCAAAACAAAACAAAAGAAAACAAAAAACGCTAAAAACCTTTGAAGAAAATGAATTGAACAAATACCAATTTGAGCATTCACCATAACTTGTGCAATGTATATCAGTATATATTTCATAAAAAGCAACAACAACAAATGGTGAATGATTAATCAATAATAATATACAAATAAGGGGAAAATAGGGGCGCTGAGCAGCGCAGCTCCATAAACAAAGCAAAACACACACACACACACAGCTTTTAGCAAATGATTAGTTGTTAAAAAAAAAAAAACAAAATTAAGACAACAAAAAAAAAAAAAAAAAAAAAAACATTTTGGCGTGAAGAAACTAAAACTAACTGAAGCTGCATTGTGAAACGTACTTATGATAAATACTAGCAGCTAATAATAAATAATTATTATAGCACGAGAGAACACCAACAATATTACAAAGAAAAAAAAAAAAAAAACAAAAAAAAAACTCACATTTACAAATTTCTTCAAACTTTTTTTTTGTACCAGTCAAATGCAAATCTATTCAAACAAAAAAATATATATATTATATTTAATTCAATCCAAGCGTCCGCCGAACATCAAACTAGTCTCAAAGAGTTATGTTTACATTGTATCTACTTGCGCAGAACCTTGTTTATTATATAGATACATACATATATATATATATACGTGTATATATATATATATGTATTTATATAAACATTTTTGTTTAGTTTGTTTTATACTTTAGTTGATATGTTTCCGTGTAATCAATGCCCGACCCGTACCAATCCCTTACGCGCACATATATTTTTATTGCTATTGCTACCTTATTTGTTGCCTATTTAATTTAAATAATTTATTTACAGTATGTCAATAAAGTGTTTTTACTAACAAAAAAAAACTAATTTTTTGGGTTTAGTTGAAAATAAATGTACCTAAAAGTGAGAATTTTTTTTCAATTATAATTTATTTCGATTCTATATTTCTCCTAGAACTTAATGGCAAAAAGAATTGTTAAATAACATTACCCAAACATTTTATAAAATTAAAAAACTAAAAACATTCACATTTTATGCTGTCAATAAAGTGTTTTTACAGCTACGGTAAATTGTTTTGCCGTTCTCTTTTGGGTGATCCCGTTAGATTTGGGCCCATGCGTTTTGGCTTCTCTTGTGTCTTCGACTTTTCTTGTCATTTTCTATTGCAATTTATAACGTTTTGCTTTAATTTTATGAAAAATAAAATGCCAGGAAAAAGAACAACTTTTGAAGTCGCTCAGCTGGTGTATTATAACCATCAGATGGGACGTCAAGTCTCGGAACTGGCTGATATGTTTAATTTATCAAAAGCAACGATATACAACATATTAAACAGAGCCAATAAGGAAGATAGGCTAGAGGCAAAGCCAGTATGTGGTCGACCCTGCAAAATTTCTGACAGAGATAAGCGAAAAATTCTGAGAAAAATTGAGAAAAATCCACAAATTTCGCTTAGGGATATTGCTCAGGAGTTCAAGGAAGAAAGTGGTGTTGATGTGTCACATGAAACTGTCCGAAAATTACTGAATTCCAATGACTACACATCACGAGTTGCCAGGAAAAAACCTCTACTATCGGCGGCGAATATTTTGAAGCGGCTATCGTTCGCTCAAGTCCATGTAAATAGTTCGAACGATTTTTGGAGTAACGTCATATTCTGTGACGAAAGCAAGATGATGCTATTCTACAACGATGGGCCATCCAGAGTCTGGAGAAAGCCACTAACAGCGTTGGAAAACCGCAATATTATTCCAACCGTTAAATTCGGAAAACTATCAGTGATGGTGTGGGGGTGTATTTCGAGCAAGGGTGTAGGAGATTTGACCTTCATTGAGAATACCATGGATGCTAGACAATATCTGAGCATTTTACAGACACATCTCGTCAGTAGTGCACAGAAATTTGGATTCTATGAGGACAATAAGCCAATTTTTAAATTTTACCAGGACAATGACCCGAAGCATAAAGCTCATATGGTAAGAGTTTGGCTGTTGTACAACTGTGGAAAGGTGTTAGACACTCCACCACAAAGTCCAGATATGAATCCAATAGAAAATGTGTGGTCATATTTGAAAAAAAAAGTCGCAAAGCGGAGTCCAAAATCAAAAACTGATTTAAAAGCTGCTGTACTGGAAGAATGGCAGAAGATTCCAGAAACATACATACAAAACCTTATTGTTTCAATGAAACGGCGATTGCAGGCTGTATGTGACGCTAATGGCAGCCACACAAAGTATTAAAAAAAAATATTCCTGTTTTTTTAACATTGTTATTTAGTAATAAAGTTTCGTGTAAAAACACTTTATTGACAGCATAAAATTTGAATGTTTTTAGTTTTTTAATTTTATAAAATGTTTGGGTAATGTTATTTAACAATTCTTTTTGCCATTAAGTTCTAGGAAAAATATAGAATCGAAATAAATTAGAATTGAAAAAAAATTCTCACTTTTAGGTACATTTATTTTCAACTAAACCCAAAAAATTAGTTTTTTTTCGTTAGTCAAAACACTTTATTGACATACTGTATTTATTTATTGTATTGTATTTATGTAAATGATATAGAAAACAGTTACACACACACACACACACACAGCAACCAAAATGTATATGTGTACAAAATGTAACTTGTTTCCACCCAAGCAATACACAGTCCTACATGTTACGAGCTACTACACACACACACACACTCGCCTACACAGAGCATAAAAACTAATTGAAAACAAGACACATTATTTATTTATTTGTAAAAGAAAGAAACAACTACTACTACTATATATATTTTTTCTGGCTTAACTATTAGTTACAATTATAATTGTTGGCTATTTTACTAACGTTACAAACAAAAAAAAAAGGAAAATAAAAAAAAAATAAAACAAAAAAAAAATGATAACGAAATATAAAATGCAAAAACAAAATCCAATCGAGATTTATCTTCATTTTCAGAAATTCCCACCACCACCTTCCCCCCTTGGTTGGAAAAGTCTATGGTAATACGGGCGAAGGCTGAAAGCCATCCTTAAAGTTATTGTCATAAGTGTAGATAGTTGGCAGTTGGTTATATTCATCATCAATTGTCCGAAGTTGTGTGAAATATACAGGGTATAGTTATTAGGGAAACAATTTTCAATTATAGAGTATCCCACGGAGTCAGCATTAAAGGAAAGTATTTTATTTCTAAATGCGATCAGCTTGAAGATATTTTTGTTCGTTTTTTTCATAATTCGTTAAATCATCTGCTTTATGAAACCCCCTCTTGTATCACATACATAGATAAATCTAACTGGATTTGCCCGATTAGCGGCGCGATTGCGTAAGAGTGGGATAGCATGTTGGTTAGACAGAGACAGCCATATTCGTATTTTGTGTTTATCTATGAACACGTCTAGCTGGCTGGCTAGCAGCTGATATTTTTAAAATTCTGATTGGACAGCAGAGCTTTGCAGAAATCGTAATCGATGTGGTGCAATAATGGGCAATTGATTCAAATACAAAGGCTAAATGTTTACGTTTTGTACCAGTTCGGTTTTTTTTTTCGATAACTTTTGAATTACATTTATAAAATATACTACATTTCATCTTGTCTGTATCGGAGGCTGCCTTTCTCTGAGTTATATGCATGTTTGTGTGTGTGTATGTGTGTGTGTGCGTGCCCGTCTGTGTGCGTGCTGCGTGCTGATTTATGTATGTATGAGTTTGGGTCTCCTTTGCATGCGGCGCAACGGCAATTTGTTTCGTAACTAACAAAAACTATGCAAAAATGTTATTACAAAATATATATATATGAAATATTGATGTATTGGTTGTGTTATCCTCTCTCAAACGGAGGCAGCGTCGTTAATTATTGGTTATTCAGTTGTATTGTATACATATGCGTCTGGGCGAGAAACTTAAATTCCAGAATCGACACTTGGCCTGAATCAACGTGCAACAGTTTAACAAAAAATACAACTAGCCAACTGAACGCCGCATGGGAAGCGACAACGACGACAACAGGCGGCGGCAGCGACGTAGACGCCCAATAACCAACGATCATTTGTGATTCTCATCCTTGTTGGCCTTGGCACTGGCACGCGTGGCCTTTGTATCCTCGTACATTTTCATCAGCTGGCTCTTGGTTGGCATGGGCTTAATATGGCCCCATTGCACCAGATATTTGATGGAGATCGTTGTGCCACCTGAAAGCATATATTTTAAGCTGTAACGGTGTTTTCCCTCTTCTTCTTCTCCTTCTTTGGGAGTGGTCACTTACCCAATGTAACTGCATAGCGCACCGGCGTTGCCACCTTATAGCAAAGATAGGCAATCGCATAGTGTCCCATATCGGAGCCTTGCACCTTCTCAATAATGTTCTCGCTTAGGTGCAAATACTGCAGCAGGGCAGGTACATCAACGCCGCTGTTGGCCAGCACATATGTACAATAAGTAGCTGTAGACGGGCATATATGAGGGCTGCTTACCTTTTTGATAGATAGTAAAAGCCGCCGAACCAGCCAATCGATGTTATCACATGCACCGGTATAAGCACATACCAATACTGCTTGTACATGTGCTTAAACTTTGCAAAGAGTCCCATGTTCGCCGCTTCTCCAAACAGTTCATTGGAGCTCGATACTGTTGCCGTTGATGAGGATTTGGTGTCCGTTTTATTGGCGCTGGCACAGTGCGCGGTGGACTTGCTGCTGAGACGCGCATAGCTGCGATATTTGGCCACAAGCAGCGGCGACAATATTGTAGTTGTTGTTGTTGTTGTTGTCGATAAAGGCAATGTTGGTGATGCCGACGATGCTTCCTTGCCGCTTCCCTTGTTGAAGCTGCCCAAGAAGCTGAGGCAACGTGGATTTAGATTGAGGCTTAATCTATTGGGGCTGGCGATGCGCGTGAGCAAACGCATGCAGACAACGCCGCTGCCTGCGCCGCTGCCAGTAAACAGGCGCGATAGTAGTCCAACCGTTACCATGGCTTGTGCCCAGCTGTTAAGACTAGTTTATTTATTTATTTTTTTTTTTAGTTTTTTATGTTTTTGACGAATATTATAATTCGTCTGTTATAACGTTTGATAAGGTTTAGAAACGTTTGCTTGTGTATTTTGTTTAGTCTGTGCTCTACTTACACACTCAGTTTTCAGGCCCGGCACAATTTCACCTGCTGATTGGAGATGTGCACGTGAAAATGTATATTACTCACGATCAAGCGAGAACATGTAATTGAACACAAGATATCAACAATGCCGGCTGCATAATTACGATTATATACAGAAACGGCGAATCCGTGCACCTATATGATTTGCTTATAAATAAAGTTTAACAAGTTAATGACAAGAATTTGGCATATTTCATAAATTTGCGTATGGCTCACGACTTTTCCACTCACGATCCCAAAACTAATTTTACTGGCGCTGCCGGACTATGCTTAAAAGCTCTTACAAAACAGCTGATATATTAGCAACACGTGCTTTCAGTTCGTTGGCAACGCGTACACTTGACAGTGTGACGTATTTTATTCCAAATATAGTTATCGATATATCGTTAATTGTTGTATACCTCGCTTATTTCAATTCGCTTGGAGTGTGTGTGGCGCATTCGCAGTCATTCTTGTATTTGCAATTTCCCTCAAAGCCGGAACTCATTAGACGCCAATCGGCATGGCTACTGCAACTGGTGAACTATCCAAGAAGTAAGTACGCGCAATCATTGCGTTAATTGCAAGTCTAAAGCCAATACGGAAAAACGGCCAACTAGGCGCCAACTGTGAGGTTAAGTTGAACTGCTTACTTGGTAGCAATCGCGGCTGTCATAAATAGACTAAGACCTATATTTGTGGCTGTGAAATGTTTGCGCGTAACACTCTTAGACAGTTAATGTGTTTTTCATCGCTCAAACTTTCAACGGTAACGGCTGCAAGATTATATCATGTGAGCGCCATGCTGTATGCACCAAGCAAAGGCACAAAACTGTTGGTACCCAAAATTAGCCAAGATTCAATGCGTCTGATAATCTTTCTAATAATCTTTTGCAGTGAGCTGAAACGCCGTCTGAAGGCTGAACAAAAGGCCAAGGAAAAGGCTGAGAAGGAGGCAACGCGCTCGGCTGCTGCGCCACCAGAAGCCGGTCAAAAGAAAAAATCTGCCGCCGAGCAGGAAGAGGAAATCTCACCGAATGAGTACTTTAAGCTGAGATCAGCTGCGGTCGCTGAATTGAAGCAAACGCCCGAAAATCATCCGTATCCACACAAATTCCAAGTGAGCATCTCGCTGGAAAACTTTATTACACAATATTCTCAGCTTCAGGATGGCGAGACACTCGACCAGGTCAATTTGAGTGTAGCTGGACGCATTCATGCCATTCGAGAGTCAGGTGCCAAGCTCATTTTTTACGATCTGCGCGGCGAAGGCGTCAAGCTGCAGGTAATGGCCAGTGCCAAGTCATACAAAAGCGAGAAGGCCTTCGAGCTGGACACAGCCAAGCTGCGCCGTGGCGATATCATTGGCGTTAACGGCCATCCCGGCAAGACCAAGAAAGGCGAGCTATCGATTATGCCAACCGAGCTGAAGCTGCTCTCTCCCTGTCTGCACATGCTGCCCCATCTGCATTTCGGGCTCAAAGACAAGGAGACGCGCTATCGCCAGCGCTATCTGGATCTAATACTGAACAGCAAAGTGCGCGAGAATTTCCAGATTCGTGCAAAGGTGAGAAGCTAGCATCTTAAATGGACAGGCAGCAAATTAGTTTGTTAATTCGATTCTTATGTGCACACAGATTATATCATATGTACGCCAGTTTCTGGATCGTCTGGGCTTCCTTGAGATTGAGACACCAATGATGAATATGATTGCTGGCGGCGCCACAGCCAAGCCTTTTGTAACGCATCACAACGAACTGAAAATGGATTTGTTTATGCGCATTGCGCCAGAATTGTATCACAAAATGCTTGTTGTTGGCGGCATGGATCGCGTTTACGAGATCGGTCGCCAGTTCCGTAACGAGGGCATCGATATGACCCACAATCCTGAGTTCACCACTTGCGAGTTTTACATGGCATACGCTGACTATTACGATTTAATTGAGATAACTGAACAAATGATTTCTGGCATGGTCAAGGCCATACACGGCTCGTACAAAATTAAATACCATCCGGATGGGCCGGATGGTGTTGAGCAGGAGCTTGACTTTACGCCACCTTTTAAGCGTGTTTCTATGATCAAAACACTTGAAGAGAAGCTGCAGGTTAAGTTCCCATCGGCGGACACATTCAATAGCCCGGAAACCAACGCATTTCTGTCCCAATTGTGCATCAAACATCAGGTGGAGTGTCCGGCGCCACGCACCACAGCCCGTCTGCTGGACAAACTGGTCGGTGACTTCATCGAGGAGACATGTATTAATCCAACATTCATTTGCGAGCATCCGCAAATTATGTCGCCGCTCGCCAAGTACCATCGCAGTGTGCCTGGCCTTACCGAGCGTTTCGAGCTCTTTGTCGCCAAAAAGGAGGTGTGCAATGCGTACACAGAACTGAACGATCCTGTGGTTCAGCGCGAACGTTTCGAACAGCAGGCCAGCGATAAGGCCGCAGGCGATGACGAGGCTCAAATGGTGGATGAGAACTTCTGCACGGCGCTGGAGTACGGCCTGCCACCAACTGGTGGCTGGGGCATGGGCATTGATCGACTGACCATGTTCCTAACCGACTCCAACAACATTAAGGTTTGTGCTAAAAACAACACCAGCTTAACATCACAATAATTCTGTGTTTATTTGTAGGAGGTGCTGCTGTTCCCTGCCATGAAACCCGAGGAGGCCAATCGCACACCAGCAGCTAATGCCACTGAAGTCCAGCAGTCCGCCCAACAATAGATGAACATTCTCTAACCCAATAACACAACCACACACACAATAGTCATGTGTGTGTATCGCTTCTGTGCACTGCTTTAAATTATTCATTGAATAAAAAATGTATTAGTTTCAGATTTCAATTGTAGAGTATTATTATTTTTTTTTTTTTGCACGTTGTCGAACACTTTTTGTTAAGCACATAGGCAGAGGATCAGGTTGCCAGTTTGGCGCAATGCTTTTCTCGTCGGCTGCTAAGCTTGTTAAAGCCGAATGGATTACAGATATGGCAGCACCATCAGCGCTGCCATACTTGAATATGCAAAAATAACGGAAGTCCATTTGAAAGAAACGAATTTGAAACTCTTTAATGTGATTAATAATTGCAATTTAAAATCACGTAAAATTTTAAAATAGATGTTTTTATTTCATGCATTTTGAGCAACGAGGAAATTTGTTAACGTAGGTATTTTTTTTTTGCATTATTTTTGTCAAATTGCCACGAATAAACTGATAAAAATGAGAATGAAAAACTGAGTTTATACCCAAACACTGGGTAGAATATTAATAATAATAATTAAAAAGAAACAAAAATAAAAACAAAACTATGATAAATATCTGATTCATTTGCTGATCATTGGCTTGACCGAATACGGCGGATACTGTTATTTAGTAGTCGGTCTCATCGGCGGGCTTCCTGTACACGCGCCCCTTCTTGCGCATGTATTGATTGATGAATTCGTAGGACTTGTGCTTCACCGACTCGGTGCAGGCTAATGGATTTCCAATCAAGTCGCAGTAGCGCATCTCTTTGGTCGTGATATGGTGGCTCAGCTAAAGAAGAACATAATTACAGTTATAGGTCCCCAAAATATGTGTGCGGTAGTATCTGTCTAATTATTGGCCAGCATAGGTCACAAATGTTGTAGAATTAACAGTCTGTTGCGAGTGGCCAACTGCAAGATATCCTGGACTGCAGCATACCATAGGAAATCCTCATTTTTACAGCATAACTTTGCCATCCTAACTTTAGAGGGTATCCAAAAAAAAACTGAGATAATCTGGTTCCGGGGAACGCGAATATATCTACGTTCCATATTTCATACATATGAACAGACAGACTGTACAGTCAGACAGACAGACAGATATATATATGGCAAGATATATATATATGTATTTTATGGGATCGTAGATGCCGCTTTCAGCTTATCACAGACATTTACACAAAAGTCGTATAAACCAATTTTATAGGCACTTACCCGTTTAATTAGAAACTTGTAGTCAGCATCGTTGGTGATCCGGCCCAGATGGCAGGTATCTTTGCGATACGGACGCAAGAACTCGGCCACATGGCCGCTTATCTCAAAGCGAAACTTTTCACAGGCCTCACGTCCGCTGGAAGTGCTGCTCAGTGGCCTGCAAGGATTTGAGTGAATGCCGCTTGTATTCGATAAGATTTGGATATGCAGAATTTGAACGCTTACGTTTTACGCTTCTTTTCACGGTCAACACGATGCTTCTTCTGGCACTCGGGCAGTTGTGGCGGCATGGGCAGCTTGCGCTTTGGCTTAGCCAGGGCATCACCTGCCAACTCACCCAACATGGACAGCGGCATTGATGGCAGCTGAATGTCGAGCGCAGCTAGCGCCGATTTGCTGCTGCTGCTGCATGGCTCCACGTGACACGTGCTTATTTTGGCAATGTTGCTGTTGTGGTTGTTGTGGTTTCGGCTGCGATTCAGTGCCTCCAGCTCGTCCACATGCGTAGCCTTGACGCCATCAACAATGACATCGAGCAACGGCAGAGCAGCACAGCCGGGCACAGCTATGTTGGCGGCATCCGCGTCAACCTCCTCATCGGAAGAGTACAAATAGCCCTGAATGGGCAGCATGTCGCTGGATTTGTCCTTGTTGTTGGTCTCGTTTTGGTTACAGCGAAATAGCTCCTTGCGGCGGCGTATTTTCTCCTTGTTCTCCTTGTACCTGCGCGCCTCCAGCTGATTGTAGATGCGATCCTCTTCGCGTCGGGGACTGATCACACAGACCGAGACAAGACGATTGCGTCGCAATTCGCGTCGCTCGCGCACCTTCGCCTCGATGTACTGCGCCAGCGATTTGTTACTGAGGCTGCCCACATAGTCGACATCAATCTTCACCAGCTCGTCGGCCGTGTGCTCCGCTTGTCCGGTTGTCAGCTCCGGCCCAGGCGAATCGTCGATCAACTGTTGCAGGCGCTGCTGCGCATTTGGTGGCTCCCACTGTGAGATGCGATCCCGCAGATTATAATAATAGATATCACCGTCGGCCGTAACACTCCAGTGCCAGGAAGGCGGCAACGGCTCTACGCAGCCGGGCAGCCTATACTCCAGGCCATCGCCGTTGCTCTCCGGCGAGTGCGGCTCACTGGAAGCGCCGCTAGAGTTGGCATTGCCGCAGCGCTGCGGCGCTTTAACCGGCGCATCATCACTGTTGAACCACTCGTTGGTCTCCGTATTCTGATAGAAGGGCAGCTGCTTGGGATCGGTTTTCAGATCAGCGCCAAAGAATTCACAGCGCAGCTCATGCTCCCGCCAATCCACGCTGCAAACGCGCTTCTCCGCCTCATCTTGGGCCACCTGTCGACGAACATAATGACAATAGTTAATTACGCTTTGTCAGACAACTCCGAATGCTCCGAATATTGACATACCTTTCGCTCGAATAGGGAACGCCGCAGCTTCTTGGATATGGTGCGGCGTGTGTCATAATCGCTGGCTGCCGCCGGTTCGGATCGCCGTCGTGGATCACATTTGCTGATGCCATTAAAGCAATTGGCATTGGCATTGCCAGCAGCGCTGCCACTGATACCGGCGCCACCTTCTGCGTTGCCCGCATTGCGCTCCTTGGGCTGTGCGGATTGGCTGCAGATGGTATTGTTGCCGCACATCCGTGTTGGCTGCTTGGGCTTCTCGTAGCGATTGGTGGTGTCGCGCCTGAATCGATCCTGTCTGTAGCGATCGCTGTTTAGCACCGAGGAGGCGCTGTTGCTGTTGCTATCCTCCAGTGCGGTGGCCGTGTATTGCGGCTGCTGTTGACGATCCGCCTCGCGTTCGTGCTCCTTCATTTGTTCGATGCGTTCCCGTTTCGGTATGCGAAAGATTTCGGGCAGGGCATTCCATTTCTGTAGCAACGCCACCATGCGTTGACGCACTGCTTCCAGCTCGTGCTGCGACTGGGATGGTTGTTGTTGTTGCTGTTCTTTGGGCTGCTCATCTGGCATGCTGGTGCTCCAGAGCTGGACGCTCTGATAGACACGACTATCGTTGAGCATCGTCCTGTTTGGTATGGGCAGCGATTCGAGAGCGTCGAGCAGAGCCAGGCGCAGCTGATTGTCGTTGCCGCTTTCACTGATCCAAGCGTGCAGCAGCCGGAGGCCATGGTAGTCGAGGAAGAGCCGGCGGCAGGGCAGCTCGCCGCGCGTCAGCACGCCCAGCAGCTGGAGGCGTGTCTGCAGCAGCTTGGCGCGCACCATGCAACGGGAGAAGCGCAGCGTGTCCACTTGATTCTTGAGGCCGCTGCGATTAAGCAGCAGCAGCTGCTCGAGCACATCCGGATCCTCGACCTTTTCGAGCTTACGTGCGGCAGACTTGTCACCACCACCGCTGCTGCTGGCGCCCCCGCCACCGCCGCCGCCGGATGGCCGTAGCCAACGTCCGGCCTTGTATTCGCGATCCTTGGCTTTTGGTTGTTCCCTGCGCATCTTGCGCGCCGCTGTCGACACCTTCAATGGTTTGCACGGCTTCAGTTTGCTGCTCTTGGCTGTTTTGGTTTTGTGTGCCTTCTTGTCGGTTTCCGGTCCCTGTCCCGACTCCACTTCGTCCGGCTCCTCGGCCAAGTATTCCGGCTCACTGTCGCTCTCCGCATCCAGCTGTTCACCCTCATCCGAGTCCGGCTCACCGCCAATCCAGCCCCGACAGTTGCTCGCCTCGCAATAGCAGCGCTGAGCGTCCCTTCCATAGCGCTGATACTGATAGTCGAAGGTGATCTCCTCGCCAGGCATGATTGTCTTGACGCTAAAGAAGCCAATGCGCAGCTCCCCGTTCACCGTCCACTTTTGCGTCTCCGCATTCGGATCACAGCTGTGGTTGATGTACCGCGAAATGTTGCCCTTGGCGGTCGCATCGATGATCGCCTCACCCCGCAGCGCCATGAAGTAATAGTGGCGATTGCGATCGCGCGAATAGATATGCTGGCGGCGCTCGAACTCCTCGCTGTCAATGACCTCGCCCACATATTCCATTATGAATTCGCCCGGTGGTATCTGCAGTTCGGCCGTAATGCCGCAGCCCTTCTTCTCGGTGCGGAAGACGCGGCAGGGCCAGCACTGGTGCAGCTGGAAGCGTTTGTTTGTGCAGCGTTCACCATTCGTGCACAACGGTCCGCACTCAATCATTAGCATGCGATTGATGCAGCCGGCGCCGCAGCACAGATGACCCATGGCCTCCTCGTCGCCGGTGAGAAAGCAATCGCATTGCATTTCAGCGTTCTCCTGGCTGACCTGACGGGCGCAACGGTAATAATTGTCACGCAACAGCTGAAACGAATTGAGTCCCTCCTGGCGCAGGAACTGCTCATTGATGGCATCGATGTGCGCCAGCTCCGCCAGCTGCTCCTCCATGCTGATGGCGGAGGATGTCTGGCTGCTGCTGCTGCTGCTGACGCCGCGCCCAACGCTCGCCTTGGGCAGCTGCGGCTTCTGTTTGATGCGATGTGAGCGCCGTACAGCGCCGCTGCCAACAGTTGCGATTGCATCCTCGTTACAGCCGGTGACGCTGCTGGGCTGTGGCGAGGATGACGGCGTCGTTGCGGGTGTTTCCATGTTGGCCACTCGCTGCGCAAAATCATCATCGGGCAGCACATTTGTTATCAACTGCTGCTCCTGCTGTGCATCCTCCAGTTTGTGTTCCAGCAGCTTAACACCATTTTCTATGAACTGGATAATGTCCTTTAACGGATTGGGCGCCTCGAGCTCCGCTATGGGCGTTGGTATGCCACAGCTGGGCACTTTACTGTTGGACTCGGTGGATTCAGTTTCATCGCTAACTTTGCCCGATTTGCGCCTGAAGGCACACTGCGAGGCGCTCGAACTGGAGTCCACTGAATTCTGACGCATCAGGCTGCTGGACAAGCGTTGGCGTAACATTTTCTTAAGCTTCGCTTTGGGATATGGCTCGTTGGCACGCGTCGCGTTGTCTGGACTCTGGGATGTCTTGTGCGGATGCTGCGAGTTGCGTCGCCTGGTCAAAAGCGCTGGAGTCTCCAGCTCGGCGGGGTACTCGCAAATGGTATTGCGACGTGTATTCTTCTTGAGGCGCTGCTTCTTGGCGTTGGCCAACGACACAGTAGGTGAATTACTGTTGCTGTGCCCCTTCGGCTGCGGTTCCAGCTTGGATGTTTGCTTCTTGGCGCACAGCTTGAGTTTCTTTTTAGTTTTCTCATCATGACGCACCTGGGCTCTGGCCTTGTCCATGGCCTTGAACAGCGCATCGCACTCGACAATGGACACGGACACAACAGACACCTGGCTGTCATTCACTTTTTCCTGCTTGGTTTTGTCTGCGACATTGATTTTGGCTGTGGCAGTGGGACTACCGCTTGGCATTTGCTCCGCTTTGGGTGCGGGCGGCTCCTGGTTGAGTGAAGCCTCTGATGGATTTAATAATGACTCTACGGCAGTTGCTGCTGCTGGCAAAATCGGATTGGAAAGGGCAGAAACTGGCGTAAGGGTTTCCTTTGCTTCAGCGGCTTCAGACTGATCTGGCGAAGGCTGCTGCTCTCCAGTTGCAATCATCTTATCATCAATCGCCTGCGCGGGCAGCTCAATTGGACCTTTAGCTGCCTCCGTTGCAGTCACTGTCAACGCCTCCAGCTGCTCGGAGGCAGCACTTTCCAATTGGATGTTAGTGCTGTCCGATTGGACAGAAGTGTCAGACACTTGATTTTGTGTTTCCAATTTACAATTAGTTTCCAAGTTGTCCTCCAATTGCGACGGCAGTTCCAACTGGTCGCTATTGCTATTGCTATTACAAATATTGATACAGTCTCCGACGAGATCAATGGGTGCATCTAGCTTCTGCGGCTCTTCGGCTGCTTCAGTCTGCAAGATTTGCTTGGAGCTAGCCGCTGCGATTTCGGCAAATGTTTCCTCCAGCGTCATCTTGCTGCCGTTTGTCGTGAGTGCGCTGCCACGCAAACTGGAACGCTTGCTGCGCCGCTTGCTTGTAGGTTCTGGTAAGACAGCACAGTTGGCCTGCATGCTTTGCTCTTCTGCTATCTGCGCTCCCAAGTTACTTATTCGATTCGGCGAGTCGGGCTCCACATGCTTGGCAGAGCAGAGACTCGGCCTTGACTCCGTCTCTGTGTCTGTCTTTTGCTGCGGCCGCTGTTCTTCCACTATTTCGGGGAAAAGCAACTCCTTAGCAGGCAGCTCCACATCCACATCCGCCTTCGTTACATTTTCTTTTTCCGGCTTGGCCGTTTCTACTTCGTCAAATATTATTTGGCAAGCAGAATCTGCTTCATCTGCTGGCAGCACATTTATTGTATCAGTCTTAATGTTTACTTTTGTTTCCGCCGGCGCTTTGGTATTGACCGACGGCTTTGGTTCGTTCAGTTCATCAATTGGCTGCAATGCAGGTACGTCTGATGAAGATGTGGACAACTCCAGTGAGGGGCCCTTTAACGACTCACCCGAGTCAGAGGAATCCCGACTTACGGGCATGTTCATGCGCTTAAGTGATACGCGTAACTTGGATTTGAATTTGGGCTTTAGTTTATGTTCACAGCAGGCGTCGCTCTCAGCGTTGGCAGTGGAGTTGGCTGAATTGGTATCCGAATCCCAGTAGCTGATGCTGCGTTTAATTTCAGCAGCGCTCGCGCATACATCCCTTGGCACCGGCGCCGGCTGTGCCTTGCGCGGACGTCCACGTTTGCGTTGGGCCGGCATAGCGCCAGCTTGTGTTGGTTCAGTTTGCTTTTGCTGACCAGCCAAGCCCGGCTCCTCGCTGTTCACTTGGTCAATAACCAGGTTCGGTGTCAGTTTTGGCTTGGCAAAGATATCAACCAGCGGCGGCGGTGGCGGTTCCGATGGCAATTGACCAGCTGCTGTGGCTGTAGCTTCTGCTGCAGGACCGCCATCGAGAGCGGCAAGTGAACGTGTGCTTGACGTGGTTGTTGCATCATTTGCAATTGGCAGTGCTTTAGAATTAATGCGCGCTTCAATTTGTGTTTTGTGTGTCTTTCGGTTTTTATTGAGCAAATCGCGCACATCGAATTTAATGATTTTTTTGCGGGAGCTGCGTCGGCACTCGCTCAATGTCGGCGACACTGTAAGCACACGTTCCGCCGAGGTCTCCGTCGTCGCCATATCCTCAGCTGTTGCCTCGGCTCCCACATTTGTGTCAGTCGGTTGTGGGTGGGCCTTCGGTGGCCGACCGAGACGTTTACGCGGCGTCGGCGATTGAGCCGGCGGTTCTGCAGTTTCGTTTGGCGTAATCTCGTCCATTGAATTCAGTTGGCGCCAAAATCAACGTGCAAGCACTTTGATTTTGCCGGCACACAATTTCAATGATAGTCTAAAATAGTGAAAATTATAAATTACAGCAGTGCCGTACTATTCAATTCTACATGGATCGCAACTATAATACCTATAAACTTATGATTATCCTACTGACACGCCTCAGTTACAGATCGTTTTTTCTTTTTCTTTTGCATTTGTTTAAACACTTGCACCAATATTAACTGTTTAATTCAATAATATATATCATATATAGGGGCCAAGTATATAAGACAAGCGTTGCCAGATGTTGCGCTATCATACAAACATTTTATTTGATTAGCTGGCTAAATAAATTATCGATAGTTATGCACTTGTGCATTTTGTGCTAGAATTGTGTGGCCATATATTTTGTCAATTCACAATAGTACTACAATCACATTGTTGATAGGCACTCAAATATCGATACATGTTTACAATATCCCTCTGCAAAGAATTTCAGCGCGCATTTTCTTTTGAAGGCAGTTTCTGTTTTAGAAGTAAGAATGCCGCCAAAGCGTGCTAAAAAGGCTGCCCCTAAACGTGTAAGTTACAACAAATATGTCGCTTACTTGAATGAATGAAATCAGTATATATATTTTCATGCAGTCGCCGCCAGAAAGCGAGGAGTCCAAAGCGCTGGATCCTACTAATCCAGTGCTTTACATTGAGCATTGCCGCTCGTGACGAGTTTTTCGTCGTCGCGCCGAGGAGCTGCATTCCGCACTGCTAAGTAAAATTCAAGCAGCAGGCCAGCCATTTCAGCTCCAATTGCAACTGAATGCCCAAGGAGCTCCAAGACGCGGCGCATTTGAGTTGTCCTTCGCCCCCCATCCCACAACAAATGCCAATGAGCAGCGTCCGATTTGGTCCGGTCTAAAACGCACACCGCGCGCCCAAAAGTTTCCCAATGTCGATGAAATGTATCAGCAAATAGTGCAGGCATTCAACGACCTGTCGCAAAAGCAAAACAAACGCAAGCGCACAGCGCAATCCTCAACGCCATCGCCAACATCCACGCACACACTGCCAAAACGCAGCAAGGCTGCAAACGCTGATGCGGCATCCAATTCCAAAGCCAGCAAATCGGCAAATCTGTAAGCAGCCATACATCAACAGAGTTGGCGTCGATAGTTTTTCAGCAATAGCGCCATATGATCATTAAACGGTAAAACCCTAACGGGAGCCGTTCACTGTGAAACTTTTGCCTGTAAGCTGAAGAATTTCTGACGTCATCTCTCTCTCTCTCTCTCACTGCTCACTTCAACACGTTACGGTAAATAAAGGAAATGATCATTAATTGTTGATTCTGTTGTCGCATAAAATTTATACATAAAAATATATATTGTGTTCTCAAATAATGTTTGTATGTGGGATTCGAATAGACAAAACAATATAGAGATCGGTTGAAAATTGCTTTATAATTACGAGTTTTATATACATAAATATTATTTGTATTTGTTTTTGTTTTTTTTTCTTCATACAAATTTTATTTTTAATTTTTATTTATTTAGTTTTTTTTTCAGCCAAGTTTTGATTGCTAGTGTAATGTACACTGTTTATGTACATACAATAAACATGTATAGTCCAGATCTAAAAAACTTCAAAAATTTGTATAAAAGCCTTCCAAAGGTGTGTAAAATTATGATTTTTGTTTTCTTTCTTTTCAATTTTATTAGAATTTTTGTCTTTGATTTTTCAAAATGTACACAGTTTTTCTTCTTTTTTTTTTCTTCTCTCTTTTTCTTTTGTTTTCAGCTCGCCTCCTTAAGAAATGTACTATTTATTCCTATAGAAAAATTTTGGTTTACGAAATTGTTTTTTTCTTTTCTTTTTTTTTTTTTGCGCTGGACTGGACTGAAACCCTAAACCCTACCACACTGCCTAAGAATACATTACGCCAATGAATTTAAAATTTCAACTTAACATTTAAATTAAATTAAAGAGAAAAAACAACAAAAAAAAAGAGCACAAATCAAGATTGAAAGAAAATTAATTGAATATGACCGTTTGAAGATTGCGATTGATTTGGCCGCAGCGTTCATTTTAGTTTAAGTAAAGTTGCTTTATATATATATATATATATATAAATATACCTATGTATATTCTATATATTAATGTGTATACGTTAGATTATCAACAATCAATTGGCTATGGGAACGTACAATTAGATAGGCGACAGAGTTACCAGTAGAATACAAATTTAGCTACGCCTGCTCGGATGTGTTTTTGGTGGTTTCGTCCTGGTTAGTCTGGTCTGGTCGGATCGGGTCGGTTCAGGTGCTGGACTCGAATAAGGAACTAATAAACTAAGCCTTAAACTAACTTTAAATTACATATGTTGAAAAAAATAGTAATCACCGTTTAGGAAACGAATTCAATAAACAGATAAGTAGATAGACTGATAGGTAGTTTGGGTAGTGGGTGAATGTGGTCCATGCAAAATGCCATCTATGGGCCACCATGGGCTGATCCTAGCGTTACAGATACTTGCGATAATTGCGCAAGTGCGCATTGCCATCCTCGACGCCAACGCCGACACCAACGCCAACAGCGGCGGCGGCACTTTCGAAAGATGGTGGCTCATTAACCAGGCCCGGACTGGGCGGATCACATGTATTGCTGGGCATGCCGCTGGCGTTAGTTGTGGTGCTGCCAGTTGTTGCGCCTTTGGCACGTCGCCTGCCCCGTGTGCCAGCGCCGCGAGATCTGCGCCCACCGCTAGATGTCGGTGTGCCGCCAATATCGCCTGCCTCTATTGCTTCCAGTGACGCATCCAGCGCCGCATCTGTCGTGGTAACACGCGTCCGCGTCACAGCGCTGCGTCGTCGCGCGCTGTTACTATTGCTGGTGCTGGCAGTTTCGCAGCTGGCGTGTATCGTTGCACGCTTGCCCGGTCGACGTTTGCGCCGCTTTTTATTACCATATCGCGGATCATAGTCGTATTCATCGTCAGCCGGTGATTTTGGCTCCTCCAGCGAGTCCACGTCGTTCATGTCCATTTCATCGTAGAACCACTCCTTGGGCAGATCATCTTTTGATTGTTGCTGCTGCTGCTGCTGCTGATGTTGCTGCTGCTGTGTTTGCAATTGACTGTCTTTGCTGTCGGAGGTGTCGCCGCCGGCGGCGCCCAGCGAACAAGACTCCTCCATGCTGAACGCACCGTTAAAATCGTGCGTCGTATCGTTGTGTAGCGTACTCAGCACTGTTGGCGTTGTCGATGCGCCCGCGCCCGTCAGCATGTTGGGCAGGCTTAACGTTGAGCTGCTGCTGTTGGTGCTGGCTATGCTGGCGGTGCCGCTGGCACCAGTGCACCCAATATTTATGCCACTGGCCACCAATGCCTCGTGCTCTTTGCGCAGCGCCTGAAAGGGGCGCTCGGGAAATCGACTGTGTGTGTGTGCGTGTGTGTGTGTAGAGGTTAGATTTAGCTACGATTTCTCAACATGGAAGTAGTCAATGAGAAACTCACCTGTACATCTTGGTCAAGTACTGACGCCGACTTTTGCGCCAACGTGCCGCGGGATACGTGTAGATTTGGCCTTGGCGAAAGCCAGGCATTCGTTGTCGCTTGTCCATGAACAGCTGGGAGTGATTCTGTGCAACGCCTGTCTGTGGATCGAGAAATGGCAGCCGCAGTCGCCGCTCGATGCAGAGGCGTGTGTTGAAATTGGCGCTATATTCGATCGTTTCGCGATAGCTGACATCCTTGAAAAAGCTCTCGATCTTGGCCAGATTCGGCATCGATACGATTTGTATATTGACGGCCGAAGACATGGCTCCGTTCTGATCTGCTCCGGTCCGGTCCGCGCTCACGCTTCGCTTCCCCCTGGCGTATTGTTATCTGGTTGTGTGAGCAACGCTTAATCCATTTAAAAAGAGCCCCAGCGGCTAGCGCTGAGTTGACGCTGCGCCGCTGCTGCTTGCGTTGACTTTTGTATTTTGTTTCTTATCTCTGTTCGCCTGCTTTTTTCACACCGCTTTCACTGTTTTCGTCTTTTGCAAATCCTATAGCGCTAGGTTGTGTGTGGCTGCTATTAGCTATGTTTTCTATGCGATATATCGCTAGCATTTAACAGACCTGTGCTGGACTGCAGAGCTGCAGTCGCACTTATCGATAGTTCTGATTTTATATAAACATTTGCCATATGATAAACTTGTGATACTTATGCGTATGCTTTAAATCAGTCGATAATATACGCTTAAAACTCGAGAACAATGCACATATTTTTGCCGTCACATATTTAAAACTATTTGCCTAGCTCACCGCCACCCTGGTGTCGGACAATATGGCAACGTTGGCAAGTATTGTTTTTGTTTACTGCTGACGTTGCCACTTTTGACGTTGACAGCTCGTCGTGAGTGCGTGCCCGAATGCCTGTGTGCATGTGTGAATGTGTAGGCGTGCTGGGGTCCGCCGCTTTTCGGTTTTAGTTGAATTTTATTAAAAGATTTTAAATGGAGCTGCATACCAGAACAACATTTTCGTCATTACTATTTGGCCTACTGCTAATATGCGGCTCAGCAAGCGCCTGGCACTCCGAGGAGCTGGAGATTTTCGATCTCGTCGAAGAGGTCAACAAAAACTTCTACGAGTTTATGGGTATCAATCAGACTGCCACGAATAATGAAATAAAGCGCGCCTTTCGCACACTTTCAATTGTGCTGCATCCGGACAAGAATCCGGCCGAGGATGCCAATATCCAGTTTCGCAATCTCGTCTCCATCTACGAGGTGCTCAAGGATGGATCCAAGCGCGAAAAATACGACAAGGTGCTGCGCGACGGCATGCCCAACTGGAAGTCGGCTCTCTATTATTACCGCAGAATGCGTAAGATTGGTCTCTACGAGGGCGCCTTCATTATATTCCTGATCATCACCGTTGGCCAGTACATGTTCGCCTGGGCAGCTTACTTGGAAAAGAAGTACACAGCCGAGCAGGTGTTTGGTAGCAAGCTCAAAAAGCTGCAGAAGCGCAACAAAAACATCGACATGGACGTCATTCTAAACGAGATCCCAATGCCATCACTACTCAATACGCTGCCAATTCAAATACCAGTCGCCATCTGGAATCTGCCGAAGACAATTAAAAATGCATTCACCAAAGCCAACGAACTGAAGCAGCTGGCGTTGGAGAAGCGCAGACAGTATGTAAAATAGCTGAGCTCATATGCAATTGAATCGACAATATTAATTTCAGGGAGATCGAAGCGGCACGTCGCCAGGAGAAACTGGAACGTGAGGCTGAGGAGCAGGCGCGTCTGCGTAAGGAGCAGAAAGAGAATCTGCGCAAGCGCAAACAGAACACACGGGCCCCTGAGAAGACCGAGGAGGAGTTACGCGGCTATTCGCAAATCCAGGCGCGCGAGCTAACCGAAGATGACGCAATACGTCCAGTTTCCCAGAAGGTGAGCGACAAATCCTGTCAAACTAACTAACGATACTTGCTTAAATTTTTTGTTTTGTTTTTTTTTTTTTTTCATTTGCGTTTAAAGACTACGGTTAGCGGTGGCTTTTGGACTGACGAGGATCTGACGGAACTGATCAGGCTTGTAAAGAAATATCCGGGCGGTGCTGGCAGTCGCTGGAATACCATAGCCGAGTCCATGAATCGCACCGTCCAAGAGGTGACATTCATGGCGGCCAAAATGAAGGAGAACGGCTATCGGATACCAGGACAAACGGAAAGCGTTGCCGAGACCATAGTCCAGGAGTCCCAGGAGGCGGTGCGCAAGGAGAAGGGCAAAAAGGGCTCAGCAACTGTCAATGAAAAGAGCATGCTTATACCAGAGACCAACTGGAGCCAGGAACAGCAGCGTGCTCTAGAGGCGGCCATCGTTAAATATAGAAAAACCGCCGGCGGCGATCGTTGGCAAAAGATTGCCAACAGTGTGCCCGAAAAGACCAAGGAAGAGTGCTTGGTTCGCTACAAATACTTGTGCGAACTGGTCAAGACGCAGAAGAAAGCCGAGGAGGAAGAGGCTGAGGCTGAGCCTGAGTCGTCCACTATTGATGAGGAGGCTGCAGTGCTCGAGGAGAAAGATCAGCCAAAGGCGACAACAGCAATGGCTGCGGCCGCACCTCTACAGCCACCCAAAAAGCTGAGCAAACGCGAGCAGCGGAGACGCAAACGCGACATGTCCAGCGACGAGGATTCGGATGATGCATATCAGTACGAAATCAGTTAATTCAGTTGCTCCCAAACGCCCATACGACACTTGACCAACAATTGATCATGCATATCCCAGCCAAATACCAAAATGTAGCTTCACTTTTGCAACAGCAAGAAGGTGATGTGCGAGCGGGATAGATGAGTAGCTAGCTTCAGACATGCTGGGTGTATGCATATATATATATATATATAAACTATTATGCCAAGATCAGGTTAACTATTTTCTAGCTTAACACTTAACTTCTTATGTCTGGCTACAGATTTATATATATATATATATAGATATATTGATTTTATGGATCCAAATTGTAACAATTAAGCACTAGTTTTCTCTCACTCGAAACGATTGCCTGATTTTTGTTCATTTCTATTTTTGGGGAGTGGAATTGGTTGATTGTCTGTTTTGGGCCTTAGTTTAGATTAGTTGACATACATTTTCGTGGCTCAAAGTTAAATGTTACAGCATTTTGTTGCATCAAGTTTAATTTAGACTCAGCACGTGGTACGTGAACCGCTTGTTTTGAATTTTGTACATACATGTATTTTATAATTATAATATACTTAACTATTTCTTTGCTAAGTAACAAGAAAAAACAAATGGAGCGAAAAGTTATGAAAATCGCATGAAATTTCACTGTTGGAAAATTGGTATTAAACATTAGATTGATTTAACGATTGAAACGAGTTGTTTTCATTTTGTTTTTGGCCAACCATTCATTGGCTGGTTAATACTACGTGTCAGCCTTATCCGTTTCGTTGGAACAGGTGGCCAGCACAGACTCTTTGCTGATCTCTAGAAACGACGCTTGGGACATTTCCGTGTCGTCCTCCTCCTCCTCTATCTCCATTTCGTATATGGTCATCTTGCGCCGGCGATCAGATAGAACGGTGGCCACCTTGCGGCTACCGGAGACGGCCAACATTTCACAGACACCGTCGAGCCCTTTAAATGTGGCCGCATCCGGTATATCGTGCACGCTGTGCGTCACTGTCGCCTCCGGTAGCTTCATGAGGGGTGCCAACTGATGCTGTGTGCAGTGATTGCGCGATGCGCTCAACGAGAACTGCACAAAGTAGCTGTGTGGACGTACACCGGTGACAGGCGTTGACGTCTGCGCCAGCATAGATATGGAGGATTCGTTGTAGAATTGGAGATCGACAAAGCGCAGATTGTAGTAGTCCTCCTGCAGCTGCGGCGTGATCGGGCCAGGATGCAGATGAACGCGCGTGCAGCGCAACAAGTAATCATCGCCGCGACTGAACTCCAGCACCATGGCTTCTTGTAGGCTGATTGTCAACGCCAGCATATCACATTTGGTCGCCTCGTGCACATGGTAGCTGCAATTAACAAAATCATAATTGGATTGCTGTTCCGGGTCAGCGGCAGATTCGTTCGGATACTGTTGCAGATCACTGCATATCACAGCTGTGCTCAGCTTGAAGCTGGCACTAATGCTTTCCGTGGGCTTATGGAACACTGCGTCGATGGCGTTAAACATTTTGTCGCGCTGCTGTATCAGTGACAATTTCTTGTCATGCGGCACAAACAGGTTGCACTGAGCCAGGCATTCGTTTTCGGCTAGCAGGCGTGGCCAGAGTTCGTCTGGATTCACTGTCTGCAGCTGGGTTAGATATGAATTCTCCAGATATTGGCCAACGCGCTCCAAATTGAATTTACTGCGCGGGGTTAGCGTCGGACTTGGACTGGCATCACCAGACGAATCCTCTCCTGCTATTCCAGATGCCGTTGCCGGTTTCTCCTCAATGCCGTCATCGCCCTCACCGGGTTCCGGGATATCGGGCTCCATGGCACAAAAGAATTCAGCCAGTGCAACATTCTCCTTTCCGGTAAAGACCATATCATCGGGTATCTCTTGATGGGACAGACGCAGTATGGTGAATATGATCCAAGAGTGAAACAGCTTCATGTCATAAACGAGCGTATCAATCGTGCGCTGCAGCTCATGGACTTTTAGCAAATAGGAGCCGCAAGCGCGCATCGCCTCGCTGGCCACATCCGGCGAGATGAGTGCCTATAATGGATCAATGTTTTTAAATGGGATGAACTTTGTCGTTTCAAACAAGACGAACCTCAAAGAAATGCGTCATGCGTCCAAAGCCCGCAATTGTATTGAGAAAGTAAAACATGTTAATGGCGGCTCCGTTTAGCTGCTTGAAGACAAGGCCTTGCAAATTGTTGAGGCTCAGATCGACTGAGTTGGCTATCTTCTTGAAGCCCTTCTCCGTCAACGTTCTGTGGCATTGTGAAAAGAGAAGAACAAAGCGGCGGGGCCCATGAGCACTGTATACTGAGTGTAGGGACTTAACTCACTCGAACAGAAACTCCTCGACCTCCAGGGTGGCGTAACCGAATACGAGCAGCTCCAGAAAGTGTGCCGATATCATGCCATATGCCTGCGAATTGGCATACTTGGTCAGCTTGTTGTCCATTTCCAGTTGGACCGTCTCCCATGCTTCCGTCAGGCACTGTTGTGTGTCATTGATGTAACTATATATGAATGGATGGGAGCAGTTAGTTGCAGTTAGTAGCCACTGCCGAGATGAACTCACTTTTTGGTCTCCAGTATGTGGGCACAGTGGGAAGCCAGCTCGAGCATGGGTGATATGGAATCCTGCAGCACCTGATTATGAAAATGCAACAGCTTCAGCTGTTGGCCATCACGAAGTAGAGCATAGATGGCATTAAAGTCGCCATTGAGACGCACATCGTACACATCGAACTGATCCGGATTTAGTACATGCTGTGTGAGATCAATGCTGCCCGCCTGCAGGGCGCCAAGGAGCAATAAATGCACTTTACCGCTGCGCATAATAACCACCAGAAAACAGGGTGAGCCCTTGGGAAATGACTTCTGATCGAGCGTCTTCAGGCACGGATCGATATTGGTCAACGGAGGCAGTTTCGGTAAATACCGTCTGTGCTTGTCCTTTGCATTGCATGTGTAGCTGTCGAGGCTCTCCTTGCAGTTGATCGCCTTGCTGAAGTAGACCTTCTTGATGTCATCATCGTAGATTAGGCCCGATATTATGGTTTCGCTTTCGGCATCCAGCAACGCCACCTTTCCATTGCTATAACCGACCGCCAACAGTGTCTCATCCATTTGCCAGCTGAGTGAACGCACTCGCACATCCTCGCCGGGCGTCGGAAAGGTGACGATTTTCTGCCAGTTCAGACGCTGTATGATTACCTCACCTACAGCAAACAATTCCAAGCGCACATGGTAAGATCAAGTAGGGAAATAAGACAATTAAGACGTCGCGTCAGCTGGATGTTGCGTACCTTTCTCGGTGCCATATGCAATGAGATCCATTTTGTTGTTCCACTCCATGCGCTCCACAATGCAACTCATGTTGCGTGCGCCAAGCAGCTTCATGGAGCTTGATTGTGCCATTATTTATTGAATTTTAATTGAAACTCACAACATTTGCATTTGGAGTAGCTTTATTTCTAGTTTGCCGGTTTGGCAGCGCAACTTATCGAATACATCGATTGTGCCCACTTGACGATTGGCGTTGCCAGATCGCATTTAATGTTTGTTATGTTCGTAAAAAGGATTTAGGAAATCTACGCAAACCAGGCTTAAGATAAAGAAACATTGCTATTATTTTCGTTATACATATTAAAATGTATGCTTACTTTATTTTAGAAATACGCTCAATTTTTTTGTTTTGTGTTTGTTGGCGCAAAAAAGAACATGCCTGTATGTATATCTATGTATGTATGTATGATTATGTCTATGTTATTTGTATGTAAAAATGTAGGAGCGAGCATGTGCCTGTGTGTGTGTGTGTGTGTATCTGTGTGTATCCATGCAGTTTTGCATGGCATTGTTTTTGCTGGCTTAACGAGTTCTGTGAAATAAGCTAGACAGCGTCTCCGTTCCCTAATTCGGCGCCAGCGTCGGGTTTTATATTTTCATCGTTGATGCTGCCGCTCGGACTAGCTTCAGCGGTGCTGCCAGGTGTACTAACGCTTCCAGCGGCGTGCGCACTGCCACATCCGCTACCGGATCCATTGCCATTGCCATTGCCAGTGTGCCAGGTTAGACGTTCCTCGTAAAATTGTATGACGACTTGTGGACATTTGACGTTCGCCAGCTTGGCGGGCACCAGATCGGCGTGATCGCTACCCTTCCATTTCATCAGAAACATTAGGTATCCGGATGAGTCGGTCGCACCAAGAATCTTTGACGGCTCCAAGCCGCGATCAAAGCCAATTAACTTCTTTTGTTCGTCGGTATCTTCCTCCATGAATGATTTTCGCTTACTTCGTATCGAATCTGGTGTTGACGATGTGGAAAGGCGTTTTTTAGTCTCTTTTTTATTATTTTTTAATGATTCTTCAAACGTTGCTATTAAATCCGGACAATCGAGATTTTCAACCGGCTCCCAAGTGTTTTCACTGCGTGGATACCCCTTCCACTTTAAATAATATTCTGTGCGACCATTAACTGTGCGTTTGTCCTCTACGCGCTCGACTGAGAATTCGGCCATTGCAATTTGCGTTTGTGTTTTTTGGAAACTTTATTTATTTACTGTAAATTAAAAGTTTTGTGTTTGAAAAAAGTGACCAGTTGCTAAGTAGTTTGGTATTTTGGGTGACCAAACTGCAAAAATGCATCAAAAATCACATATCGCATTGCAATATCGAAATTAACACAGGGCTGCATACAACTATCGATAACAAAACGTGCTACAGCTGATTGGAAACGGCATGTGAACAACGTGCGCGACGGCAAAAAAAAAAAAACTTAAAATATTAATTTAGTAGACGGCCTTTACAGACAATACAGTAATTCAACATGGGCGAGTTCATTGCAGAGATGCAGGAGCGCCTGCTGCCGGAGTATGAGCAAATGAAGCACTACCAAGTATTTACCCCGGAACAAATCAGGTAAGCAGCTACACGTATTTAAATGCATTGTAATATTAAATGTGCAAATGTTTAAATTGCAGAGAATGTGTACGCAAGCGCGAACGGCTATTCTTAAATATAACCAAAAGCCATATAACCATGTCCGACTATTTGGAATTCATTGCATACGAGAAAACAATGCACAAAGCACTCACCGAAAAGGAGAAACTGACCGGCCTCAAGCTGAACGGCCTAAAAGCCTCCATTTGCACTCGGATAATGCGCATGTACAGGGAGATGCTCAATAAGTTTGCCCACGAACAGCCTCTATGGGATAACTGCATTAAGTTCAGCAAGAAATCAGCGCCACAAGAGGTGGCTGGCATATACGAGAAGATGCTGTCGGTGAGTTTTCGTTAACAGACAAAGACGCAAAATGGAAGTGGTAAAAATGAATTGTTCTATCCGCAGTACCATGGGGGTGATCCACAGATATGGATCAATGCCGCCTTGTGGCTCTACGAATACAATCGTGCCAATATTGCGCGCGTACAGGACATACTGTTGCGTGGTCTACAGCGACATCCCGCCTCCGAAGCGCTCAACAGTTGCTTCTTCAATATACAGCTGAAGGAGGCAGCTGTGGCGGACAACAAACGTGATTTGGGCGACAACACGGTCTCGGAACAGGACATACAAATGGAGCGCGTCGCGGCCGTCTATCGTAACAGCCTGTCAAACATAACAAATTTGGATTACTTTCTCAAATTGCTCGAATGCTGTGAGGATCATGCGGAGCTCACTGCCAGGCTACAGCATCGCATTATCGATGATATACAGACAAAGTTCTCACGCGAGCCAGCACTGTGGGATGCGCTCGCGAAGCGTGAGCTGCGTGGCTTCCATTTGGGTGATCTAATGAATATGGCGGAGAACGAAGACGATGCTGAGCCGAGCGAGAAAAAGACGCGTCCAGACACGGTCCAAGTGTTTCAGTCACGTTCGAAAAAGCGTTGCATTGAACTCTGCGTGACTGTCTACAAGGCTGCCGTGCAGCAGTTGCAGACGCAGGAAATGTGGAACTTATATCTGGACGCCATGCTGGCGTTAAGTAGAAATCACAAATCGGAGCGCGCATTCATTCAACAGTGTTTGGCGACAGCGCTGCAAGATGGCCATCGCTCCCAGCTGATGCATGCCAGGCATTATGCCACGCTAAGCATGATACTGGGCAGCACCGATAACGGCGGAGAAGCCTGTGTGCGCATTTTGACCGAGGCACTGCAGCACGATGCATCGCTGCGCATGCACGAGCTTCTGCTGGCCGCCCATATCCGCAATGATGATGAGCCTAGCGTTCACAAGCTGTTCAGCCAGGTGCGCCGCACGATGGGCGCCGCCGGACTCTCCCTCTGGCACATGGTCATCGCCTATTATAGGGCGCGCAATGATAATCAGGCCAAGCGGCAACTGAATGACATTTATACACAGGCCTGCAAGGAGACCTCGCCGGAATTTGCCGATCTGCGCTGCAGCTATTTGCGGTATCTGTGGCACGAGCATTCGCCGACCAAAGCGCGTGATGAATATGCCAAATTGGCGCAACAGCCCCCCATGTCGCTGCAGCTGCATCGCGAGATGGTCAACCTAATACAGAGCTCCAAACTGAAGGTACCCCCATTATCATTGACTTATCAATATCGTATTTATTGTATATCGTTTGTTTTAGGATTTATCCACAATTAAAGCCTGGCGCATGTGCTATGAATTCATGACCACATATTTTGGCAAGCGAGAGCCGAGCGTTTGGCTCGAATACATTGCCTTCGAGCGGGATCATGGAGAGGTCAAGAGCATTTCCCTGCTTAGCCGGCGTGCGCTCTCCACATTGGAGCCGCAGTTTGTGTCCATATTTGAAGCCGAGCGCGCAATGGCGCATGTTGGCATGGCCGTAACTAGATAATTAAGCTAGCTGGTAATTAGTTATTGAATTTTGTTTAAGTCATGTTTATGTTTATTTTCTTTTGTTTTATCAACAAATTCCATCGAGAAAGGATAGAAAATAAAATAATATTCTATAACCTGAGTATATCTATAAAATGGGAGTGTAAGAGCGAGAGAGTGATATACTTTGATGCATTCACATCGCTAAAAGCACAAGTACGTACAGAGCGAGAGAGAGCGAGAGAGAGAGAGAGAGAGAGAGAGAGAGATAAATTGAATAGTTGGGTGTTATATTTTCGGTTTAGTTATATTTAGGAACAAAATATTAAATAAAAATAAATTAATTAATTGAAAATATAAAATAAATGGGTATTCTGGATTTGAACCGGTTCAGTTTAAATCGGTTAAACCGATCGAATTTCCACACATGCGGGTGGATTTTTCCGAAACGCTTTCTTAACGTGAACATTCATCACAAAAGATGACTACAGTGAAAATTTCAGCCTCCCAGATCTTACGATCTTGCGTTCAATCAATCAGTCAGTCAGGACAAACGGTATTACACATACAGACACACACAAACCCATACATACATACATACAACACGCCTAACGGGAACTTGGTGGAGTCCGTTTTCCATGAGATGTTACGCAGATATTTGAAAATGAGAAGGCACAAAATAAAGTTTTCTTATATTAAAAATGTCCAATTATAGAGGAAAAATTATTAGTTATTTGATTAGACTTAATAAAATCCTTAATTTGGATTGTTAACGTTTATTAATCAGTTTTGGGCAAGAGTCCTGACAATTTGCACACATATTTAGAATCTATTTACATACATGTGTAAATAATAAGTATTTGGCTATTGATATTGATAAGACTAACTGTATTTGTGTGTGAGTATTTGTGTGTGTGTGTGTGTGTGTGTGTACATAAATACGCACACACCAGTTGCTGTCGTTAACGTCGATAGCATTGTCGCTGTCCGCAGTCGCAGTCGCAGTCGCTGCCGCCGTCGCCGTCGCCGTCACCGATTGACGCTGCCCGCGTTGCCTGAGCTTTGGATGCGCGCGCTGGCGCTGCTTTGGTTTAGTCAGTTTTCACACAGCGTTTGGGCAAGACGTGCACACAGGTCGAGCGTGAGTGGGAATAAACCGAAAGCTAAAGCATTTCAAAAGCGAAGTAAAAACGTCATAAAGGAAACAACATGGAGTTCAACAACCGTTTGTTATTGAAGATCATTGAGCTGGTAAGTGCAACACTGATCAATCAGTCTCAATTCTATATGTACCTGCATACATACATACATGCATATGTTTGTATACTGTTTGTGTGACTATCTATGTATGTATATCTATGCGACTCTCTATCTCTACGCTTTGAGTCCTTTTCATCAGTTTTTGTCTTGACTAACGCTCGTCTGTGCTTGTATTGGCTGCTGCTGATGCCTTTTGCTCCCTTTATGTTTCTTTCTCTTCACCCCCTTCCCATGCCCACTTTCAACTTACTTTGGGCGACTTCGCTTGTTGCCGTTGTTTTGATTTATGTTTTTTGTTTCTTCTCCTATTTCTACCCTTGCGCCAGTTGCCTTGAAGCAAGAAACCGGTTTCCATTGGCCAGACTCGTTTTCATTATTGGTCATGACTTCATTTGAGTTTCTGTTTTTGGTAGTTTTCTGTTTTTGTTTTTGTTCTGGCTTTGGTTTTGTGCTTCCTTTTCATGGCAACCAACTGCGTAGTAGTTCTCTAATGCGCGCTGTCGCACATTAGTCTTTTGTTATCCCAAGCCGGACATGATGTCATTAATATTGCCAGATCTTGAGATCAGCCCCCAAACAAAACAATTGGTCGCTTGTTTCTCATGCCTGTCGAGTTGATGCTCTCCATGATGTCACCGTTACGCAGACGAGTTTATTTTTGACGATTTATTAAATTGATTAACTTGTTACTTGGCCTACAATTGCGCTTAAATTAAGTTGATTGCGTTTTGTGCAAATTGTTAATAACAATGGGCAAATTGTTTTTCGAATATATGCACATGCATACATATATTCAAGTGCCCATTGCATTATTGTTTCGACTGGAGTTTATCAGCTGTTTTTTTTTTTTTTTTTTTTTTGTTTTTTTATTATTCATGTGCATTATTGGCATTCCCGTTATACTCGTTCGCGAGTCATTCTGGCGTTATCAGAACAACAGTGCAACATGACGCATGCCCCTTTGTGCACAGATCTTGCGGCTCGTGAATGACTGCATGATTGCTCTCTCGATTTTATCACCTAGGTCAGTGGATCACAGTTGATTATGGCGCATCGACATTGACACATAACTGGCCAACTGTATTAATCTTGACTTTCAATTGAGGCGCTTATTGTACTATGACATGAGATGTGTGGTTAGATCGAATGGCGAAGAGTGTATTCAGAATTCGGCCTGCGAGCAATGAATAGTTCTTGCTGCTCTTCTTGTTCGGGCTGTACGTAAACAAAAGTTGACATGAAATGAATCATAATATGATTTAAGGTTAACTGTGCTTGAATATTAATCCAAGCTAACGTTATGGCCATATGGCTAGATCAATGTGTGTGCGTGTGTGTGTGTGTGTGTGTGTGTGTGTACTGCTGGAACGTGATTGTGTTGCGGCCCATGACCACACCTTAAAGGTGTACAGGCTTAGTTTTGTGGCTTTGGCTGAGTAATTAAATGAATTAAAATCAACCCGAGACGCGCCTCAAATCGCACAAAGTTGATCACGAACTGTTGCTGCTGCCGATGATGATGATGATGATGTTGATGACGATGATGATGATGTCATAATTGGCAAGTGCGAGCGCAAAACAGATTTACATTACGCATACGCCATGTGCGGCAAAGGTCGTAGCTGCGGGCGCTGCATTGAATCAACTAAAGCAACAAAAACTCTGTGTGCGCGGCATAGCTAATTTTCATTTATATAAACATACACACACACACACACACATATATATATATATATTTGGCTTAATGAGCTGACCAGCAGCAGCAGCAGCAGCCAATGCTGACGCATCCCGAGCCGTTCGGGCCAAATATTTGTTATTGGCTTATGGATCGCTGGTCATGGGAAAGAGCTCAAAGCGTTGCAGATAAGGCGCCGGCAATAATTGTTTGCCTTAGATATTATGTGCATACATAAAAGGGGCGTGTCACCGCCTTTAGGTTATTTCCTTTTTTGCAATTTATTTACGAGCTAATAAATGTTTTAACTGGCACATTTGTTCATTTCACAATTGCCAATACCCTCTTTGTTTTTGGCCCTAACAAATGGCCGGCGCCGGGTCGCTCAGCTCGTTCGGCTCGTTCGGCCAATGTCAATGGTGGGGTGTCAGCGTCATATAATTAATTGCTAAATACCTTTAACTATGTACAAAGCGCACCTGATTTCAGTATTAAATTGATATATGGGCACGGTGCGAAACGGCGGCGCTTAATTTGTATAAGTTGCTCGGCTATATTGGGCCAAATAGGCGGGTTTCATAAATTACTTGGAATTCCCCATGTCTGTTGCCTTCGCTTGCCTCAGCCTGGCAATTGTCAACGAACCAAATAACAATCCTCAACACATGCATGCAAATTGTATTAATTCCATTTGCCATTGAATTTTTCTCAATCTGATTATCGAAAACTTGGAAGTTGTCGAAAGTATAGTATATAGCATAGTATAGTACATCTATTCGAAAACATAATTCGGATTGTTAACCCCAAACAGTTCTGCTTCCGATCCTCAAGCATCATTGGCTTAAATAGACAATTATGCTGAATTGAAAAATTTGTTTTTTTTTTAGCTTTTTTTTATAGTTTTTTGATAGTAGCCGAAAGTCTGCCTGGTCGAAAATATATTTTGGGCTTGCCTCATAAAACTTTTGTAAATAAAGATATTCTTTATGTACAAATTGTATTTGATTTTAGTGCATTTTATTTTTCACAGCCTTGAAATTTGTAATTTTTTTAAAGTTATAAACAAATTGTAACATTATTAGGTCGCCTATATATATAGATATATATATATTAGATATATGTACAGTTTTTAAGCAGGGATAAAGAACATTTTGTGGCACATTTAACTTTTGGTATTTGTTTAAATCAATTACAAAAAAAATAAATAAACTACTTTAATCAATATGAAAAACTTAATTTTTGCGCCGTTAAGTTTTTCTGTTGTTTTTTTAAATTTCCGAAACGCGTTTTCAGCCCAAAAGTCATTAATGTCGAAATTAATCATTTTTTTTGTTATTGTAATCAAATTGGCTGCCGCAAGGCCCAAGTTCATATTTTTACGCAATTTGTCTCACGAATTGGTAATCAAATATTTAAGAGCCCATAAAATCAGTTGGCCAAGCCATTGCCAAAATTTCTTAAGCTTATTAATAAGTAAAGAACTTGCAATAATAATAATTGTTATTGCTATTTCAATTGTTATTAGTAATAATAATCATAGTAGTAGTAATAATAATAATAATTGTTATTGCTATTTCAATTGTTAATATTATTTAAAATTTCTTCGTTTTTTTTTTAAATTTATCTAATTTTTATTAACATTATTTTAATTTTCTTATTTTTATTATTATTTTATTATATTTTGTATTATTATCATTTAAATCATTATTAATATTATTATTTTTATTATTATTGTGTTAAATTAGTCATTGTTATTATCATTAGTATTATTTTAATTGTTTCATTGATATAATTTTTTTAAATTGGTATTTAGATAATTATTTCATTTGCGGTTTTAAATTTGAAAAATTTTAATTTAAAATCAAACGAAACAGAAATATTTCCGAAAACCAAACAATAGTTTCTAAATCATAAAAAAAATTGGTTATATTATTATAAAAATGTAAGAATTATTAAAAGGAAACTTTCTATTTGATTTGGCAGCCAAATTCATAAAAAATATAAGTAAAAAGTTCTAGTCGGGAGCTTTAACGCTTATTATTTACCAAAATTGCTCAAAAAACAGGATTTCGATATAGATTTTTATCGATTACTTGGAAACGGGACAAGTTATCGGTTATCGAAAACACACTCGATCTGCGCATGGACTAGGAGGATCTGCATCTTCAAGTCTCTAGCTTTTATAGTTTCTAAGATCCTTGCGTTCATACATACGGACGGACGGACGTATGCTGATCAAGAATATATATACTTTATGGGCTCGGATATGTTTCCTTCTGCCTGTTACATACATTTACACAAATACTCTTTTTACACATTTTTAATGGGTTCTGGGTATAGAAACCAAGCCTGAAATTTGAGTTTGGATTTTCGGTTTTCATATTGAAACAGCTTTTGTTTGTCTCTTGCCAATTGGGCAATAAATAAAGTAGAATGTGACTGGCATACGCAAACAAATGTGCGCAACATTTTGGTAATTATTGACATCATTTTAGCCAATTTTATTTGCTGCTAATGGGCGTGACAGAAACAATAAGCCGCAAATATTGATACAAACATATTATCTAGTCCGATATGACCATGAGCCTGTGTTTTGTTTTTGTTTTTTTTTTTTTTATCTCAAAGCCCCTAAACATGCTACCTTAATGACATTTTGTTGTTGTTGTTGTTGTTGTTGTTGTTGTTGGCAGCTCGCATTACAAATCAAACAATTGGCGGTTCGGAGTGTGGGCGCCTCGACAGGATATGTTGCTGTGTCACATCCTTTTAGCTGGCAATTAGCGTCGTCTAACGGCGTTCCTAATTGATTGATTGATTGACTGATTGATTGCCCCAGAGAGCCGCATTTCCAACAGGCGCAGCTCTCCTATCCTCCTCCTTCCCTGTTTACATATATATATATATATATAGAGGTAGTTAGCTCCATTTGTTGACACTGCAGCCCATTAATATAACGCCCATTTGCCATATCGATATCTAAATAATTTCCATATTTGATAAGCAAATTGGCTTCACCCAGGCACTCCGACCACTCGCTGTTGGCAATTCCGTATGGCGTTAAGTCCGCCGACTTTTGCCGTATTAAATGACAACAGGCAATACGACTTCTGATAACATTTGAATGCCACTCAACTTAAAGTGCTTAAGTTGGAAATGGGCTTGTTAATTGTGCTTTCCAACAAAAAGTTCATTTCAATTTAACAAAACTTCCAGTCCTTAAGTTTTAACTATTTACTTAGCCAAGCTGCTCCTTGAACTTAACTTATCTAATAAAGGTTTCTCAAAGTGTTTGTAAATTCAAAAGTAAATCTAGTTTCTATGTTATGTTCTTTTACTTCAACTGGAGGTTCAATTGAAGAAGTCTTTTAATTTCCCTATTTTTATATACATTTCTTAGTCAAGCTGCTCCTTGAACTTAACTTATCTAATAAAGGTTTCTTAAAGTGTTTGTATGGTCAATATTAAATCTAGTTTCTATGTTATGTTTTTTTTAATCAACTAGAAGTTCACTTGAAGAATTCTATATGGTCTTCCAATTTCTATATGTTCATATACTCGATTTCTTAGTCAAGCTCCTCCTTGAACTTAACTTATCTAATGAAAGTTTCTTAAAGTGTTTGTATGGTCAATATTACATCTAGTTTCTATGTTCTGTTCTTTTACTTCAACTGGAAGTTCAATTGAAGAATTCTATATGGTCTTCTAATTTCCCTATTTTGATATACATTTCTTAGCCAAGCTCCTCCTTGAACTTAACTTATCTAATAAAGGTTTCTTAAAGTGTTTGTATGGTCAATATTAAATCGAGTTTCTATGTTATGTTTTTTTTTAATCAACTAGAAGTTCACTTGAAGAATTCTATATGGTCTTCCAATTTCTATATGTTCATAAACTCGATTTCTTAGTCAAGCTGCTCCTTGAACTTAACTTATTTAATAAAGGTTTCTCAAAGTGTTTGTAAATTCAAAAGTAAATCTAGTTTCTATGTTATGTTCTTTTACCTCAAGTGGAAGTTCAATTGAAGAATTGGTTATGGTCTTCTTATTTCCATATATATTCTATATACTATATTTCCGCTCCAAGTTCGTGTCAAGAAATCAAAATGTTTGTGAATGCACCCGCACGTAGAGTTTACTGTACCAGCTCGTGTGTCTGTCCGTTTCCATGTGCCTTCTGTTCCACAATTGTCCGTCGACAAGCATCTCATGCATGTTTCGAGCCCTCGTCACAGATCTTCACCGCCAGCATCATAATCTTGATTGAGGGCGTGGCGGATCACAGCTACAGCAGCCAGGCGATGCTGGTCTGTGGAACGCTGACCGGCTATCTGATCATCTGCAGTGTCCTGAGCATAGGTAATAATATGGATGTGATTGATTGTGGAGACGCGGCCGTTAGAGTGAATTGCCGCTTCAATTGCAGGGCATCTGGTGGGCGCCAAACTGGACAAACGCATCGATATACTCTTCACGGTCGCCGGCTGTGTGCTCTTCGTCTCGACCGGCGCCATCATACTCGATCGCTGGATGAACTGCTACGAGATTGCCAGCGAAAAGAACACCATCTTGGCCTCGGGCGTACTGGCCTTTGCCACAGCCGCCATTTTTATCGCTGACACATTTATCATATTTCATGCCCAATAAAACTTGCAGAAGCCAAAGCAATTTCAACGAGCTCATGTACTTTTCTAGCGCAATTCGGGATGAATCACATAGGTCACAGTATTAGTCATGAAAGCCAGCTGTATATTTTGCGAATTTATTTACTTAAGCTATATATAAACTAACATATTTCAAGTTGGAATTTCAAAATATAAGCATATGCCAATAGTTTTGCTGATAACCGATTTGAGCCCTGTGAACATTGAAAATGGTTGAAAGGGTATATTGGCAGAAGAAAGCATCTACGATCCCATAAAGAATGTAAATATTTATCGATCTAGCCATGTCCGTCCTTCTCTACGCGTGTCCGTCCGTATGTATGGGAGAGTATGGAAGATATTTTGAGCATAGATCCTCCTAGTCTGCGCGCAGTACGAGTTTATTTTCGATAATCGATAACATGCCTCGTCTCCAAGCAATCGATACAAATCGATACCTGCAAACAGAGACGGAAAGGTGGACGGACGGACGGACGAACTTGGCTATATGATCTAGGCTGATCTAGAATATATATACTTTATGGACTCGCAGATGTCTAGTTCCATGCGTTACAAGTTTCATGATAAGATATAAATACCCGCCCTCTACAAGAGTATACAAATATGTGGCAAGCTGGTTCGAATCCGCAAATGAATTGCTGCAAATTGTAATGCTAATAAATTCAATTGACCATATGATTGTCTATATCGGATCGACTATTATTAAAGATCAATGTGATATAGACTTAGGCACCTTGTGCAAGGTGAAAAAGGTTATTTGATTTGTTCTGCAGGCAGGCTACAGTTATTAATCCAAATTAGTTGAATAATTGTTATTGTGCATATTTTCTTATAATCCCAGGGCATTGCCATTGCCTGCGTTGTGCTCTACGAGGTTGTCGGGGATCTGAGCAAGCGTCCATTGATTGTCTGCGGCACCATTGGCGGCTTCACAATCATCTGCGCCGTGCTGCTGATCGGTGAGTATACGAGTTGATGCAACACTAATGCCTAATACCGAATCGCTAATGCCAAATTCTCTTCGCATAGGACACGTGATCAATTCGGTTGTGGAGAAGCGGCTCAATGCCCTAATCTCGCTGCTGGGCTGCATTCTGTTCGTGGCCTCCGGTGCCCTGGTCATTGATGAGTGGCATGATATATACGATTTCTTGAAGGATCGCAAGCGCAACGCCATCGCCGCCGGCTCCCTGATGATCATCAATGGCGCCGTCTTTCTACTGGACACGCTATCCATCTGCAGAACGTAAGCCCCAAACAAAACCAAGGGGTCCACTTATTTTTTTTTTTGTTAATTTTTTTTTTGTGAAACCGAAATTCTCATGGCTTCTGTGTGGGTCATAAAGCGAACAATGAATCTTCTGTAAACTATACGAATATCATGTACACCCATCTATATACATATAATACTTATATGCAACTTTTTTTTGTATACCTGTCAAATATATCTATATATATATACTCTAACCGTATGGCACCCAAGTTATTGTCAGCTGTGCACGAACAAGCGAATCCTAAACTGTTCACAGATATCCATTAAATATATATCTATATATATGTATATATGGACTTGTCCATGTTTATGTGCCACTTGCTATCTGTTTAATCTGGAGCTGGTCATGTCTTATATAATAATTTCCGTGCTATTTTGTGGAATGGCAATTGCGCATAATTGCGTGCAGCGAATTTTCTAAGCTTTCTGGGAAAAACTGCTTCAAAACACGCCGCGTGACGTCACGTGCCAAGCCGCCGTTAGCCTCACCTGCCCTTGAGTACAACTCACATTTGCTTGCCAATCCACTTCCAAAATCAAGTCTCACACGTTTCTGAAGTAGTTTGACAAATGATTCCGATTTACAATTTTTTTAACAGCATTCAATTAAATCAATAATTGTATTAAAAATGGATAAATGGATATTTGATATATTAAAAGTTCACAGTTATATATATATATATGAATTATTCTTGGCAAGTTTTATTATAATGCTCGAAGCTTGTAATATGGGGGGAAATGTTTCTTGAGCCAAGAAATGAAAGGGGTGTCAAATATAATATGGGCTTTACATCAAGTCGAATTGAAGGGTATTTCTGCGTCGTTGCGTTCTACGTTTTTTCTTCTTCTTTTTTTGCTAAATACCTTATTTGTTGCATTGTCTTCTGTGTGTGTGTCTTGCGTGTGTGCTTTTCTGTTGCTTTGTCTTTGCTATTTAACAAAAGCAATTTATTTAATTTATAATCATTTTATGCTCAACCCCTACCCCCCCTCCTGTGCTCATGGTGCCACACCAGCCGCACCGCGGTACCCATCCTAAGGGAGGAGTCGACGCGCAACAAAGTCGAGATAAATCGCTTTTAGACTGAGCTACGAATTACATTCTACGGAGACTTGAAGTCAGAATAGACTTGAAACCGAGTTGTGATTTAAATTAAATTAATTTTTGTTTTGTTTTCGCTATAATTATATTATGTGCCAATTTACGCTAAGTAGCAAGTGCGAGTTATTTTTTTATTTTTTTTCTATTTTAATTTGAATTTTTTATCGTTGTCATTTTTATTCCTCGATCTCCTACCAAGATCCATGGCCATGCTTAAGACTGGGGCAACCTAGGAGCCCGGCTCAGTTCGGAGCAGGCTTTCGAAATTATTTCACTCATTCAGGCATCTATTATAATATTGATTTGAGCCAGGCAAAATGGCAACGCACGAAGCCAAGCCAAAGATCATGGCCTGCGATTTTGAGGTACGTGGCAAGGTGCCAAAGGAGGCGTTCGAACTGTTTGCCGTTGCCCAGGCAAAAGTGTTGGGACTACGCGGTTACATAACCCGCGTCTCCGAGGATCTCTACAAGGGCCAGCTGCAGGGTGAGGGCAAGGTGATTGAGGCCTTCAAAAAGGTCATCGCCTCGGCAGCCGAATACGTGGCTGCCGTTAAGGAGTTCATCATAAAGAATATGAAAGCCATCGAAGAGTATACCTATAAGGCCTTTGAGGTTAGAGCGTAAAGGCATGCTCACAGGATCACATATCCTTAATGTGCTGTTATGATAACTGTGTCTTTTGTGGCTAATTAAAAGCGTCTTAAGTACTATTATGTGACACTTGCTGAATATCTACAAACAATGGATTAGGTAAGTATTCCAATGAATAAGTAGGATCTTGCTAGCAGGGCGGCAAATACTTCAAATCGGTTCACATTTGGAACCGAGTCGTTCGGTTCGTGAACCTGGTTTTGCACATCTCTGAACCAGAAAGTTCAGAGTAGCTGAAGATTTAAAAATTAATTATTATATATATTATATACACACACTCTAGATTTAGACTCATGACATCTGCCAAGGATTTAGGGTAGGTTATTTTTGCCTTGCCATCAAAAGGTTTTTTGAACCGAATCATTTTTGAAGAAAAAGTGTTATGATTCGGATATTGAATGTTTCGTTTAAAAGTTTTCCGGGCTCGAACCGGTTCAGCTTAAACCGTTTGGCAGCCTTTTGTGTTGGCCACATTTACATATTTAATGCAGAAATCAAATCAGTTAAGAGCTCAGTGATGCGAGTGTCTTCCGCTTGAGCTTAAGTTCTATTGGCCAATTCTCGCTTGGGCCACCTTTTTGCATGCTAATCGCAGAATAACTCGGCGACAACGAACAGATCGTGATTATATTTCGAATGATATTGAAGCGTTTCGATCCATGCATATATCAATATGTATCATGTATCTGTCCTGAAAGCAAGTACTGTGAATCTGCCACAACAGTCTTTCGAAAAAGTCTGCTCACTGATGTTGACATGTGTGTGTGTGTGTGTGTGTGTGTGTTGATATGTATACATACATATATAAATACATATGTATATAAGTCTTTGCTGATAATCTGAATATGGGCTATGACAATCTATCGTAGGCAAATTAATGGGTCAATTTGCGTACGGCCATTACGAATGTACAGTTGTACAGGTAAATATTCGTACAAGCATTCTTATGTATACACGTAATGCATGTTTGAGCACTAACCCATATGCGAAAAAGCCGCAAAGATTGAAGGAAATTAACTGAGGCAAGGCAGCGACCACTGTGCCAGCATCGGCAGCTAATCAGTCGGCAAAGTGCGGCGGCGGCGGCGGCGGCGGCGGCGAGCAACGACGACTGCGGTCGCGGCGAATAAGTCGGTGTAATTGCAACGCAGTGGCAACGCCGCCGACTAAGCGAATAGAGCAGGCGCAACAGTGCTGTCAACTTTGATAGCCGTAAAATGTTATGTTTTAACAGCTTAGTTTTTCTGGGCAGTTATCGAATTTTAGCAATAGCAAAAATTCAGTACGTAGCTGAAATGTGGAAAATAATAGTTCTTAGAACTTAAAACGGTTGCCATTACAGATGTTTTAACGACTAATATGTTTGCTCTTAGCTTTTATTTCTTAACTGTGGCTAGATCCGATCTATTGCGACCGATCTAGCTGGAAAACGGCTAAACAGTCAGAGCTGCTCGTCGGCAGCGGTGATTGGCGCAGTCGCAATCGAATTGGAGGAGCCGTCGTCGTCGCCGTCGCCATCGCCATCGCCATCGCCTTCGCCGTCGCCGTTGTCAGTTTGCTTTGAACACTCGTACGTGAAAGTTGGCGCTGCGACTGCGTCTCACAAAAAGCTTTGCCCATACAATTTTGAAAGCGCAGGCGTGCAACGGTTTTTTCTGCTTTCAAGCCACGATTTGTTTTTGTTATCGATGGTTTGTTTTTTTTTTTACATTCGGTTTCGTTGTAGTGTGAAGTGAAAAGCATATGAATTTTGTGCATATTTTATAGAGTTGTTGGGCGTTTTGATTGTTTATTTTTTTTTTGGTTATTTTTTTTGTTGTAATCTTATGATTTGTGCAATTTTGCTGTAAGCTAACAAAAATATGCAGCAACATTAATAACAACAGCCAAGGCAACAAAAGTCAACAGCAATTACGAGTGCTCGTACCAGGCATTACGACCAAAGGAAGAGGTAAGCAAATATGCAATGCATTTGTGTGTGTGTGTGAGTGTGTTTTTTTTTGGCTTTGTTTATGTTTGTTTCGGGGCTGCATTTGAGCAAAAACCACAAAACGAAAAGATAAGCGAACAACAAAAACCAAAAACCAAAACTGGCCTATCCCAGCTGACACACACACATACATACATGTGTATGCATATGCATACACGGACATGCACCGTAATATACACAGATAGGCAAACACCGTTGCAATTACACAGACGCACATACATTTGCACAGACACAAACAAGCTAGACATAACCTCATTAAAGTTGTCGCTGTTGTTGTCCTCATTTTATCCGGCTGCCAGTGAGCCCAGCCATCGTCGGAGTTGGAGTCGCACTCGCACTCGCACTCGGAGCTGTCTTCGATTATTGAGCCGTTTGACTTTTTCCCCACAACGACGACGAACCTGTTACCAAAGTAGCAAAAAAACAAAAACAAAAAAAAAGAAATAAATATATAAAAACAAAAAAATATATATGTATATATATACAATTTATAATAAAAACATCTCGCTGCCTCTGGCAGCCTCTAGAAATCTGTAAGCGCGAGACAATCTTAAAGCTCTTTTTCTTTCTTTCCTTCTTTCTTTCTCGATACACTTCAATTAGATCAGGGTAGCAAAACATGTTCATTCAGGCTTTGCAAGTTTACGCATGAATGGACAAGTTTGCTGTTGCTGAACTATTCCAATTCGATTTAACCCGCAGTTAGCTGGCAGTCAGCCATACATATGTTCATATGTACATATGTATGTGGCTACCTGGGCTAATGACATTAAGGGTACTCCCTGCAACAGTTTGCTGGCTTATATCATTTTGATTTCTATATATCATTATGGCCGATAGCTTTTAAATGGAATTCATAATTGAAACATATTTATGGTAGGGTATGCTCTTGTCGGTGTTCTCTGCCTCGCTTCTTCTTTTAGCTCTGCTGCTCGCTTGTTGTTGTTGTTGTTGTTGTTGCCATGAACTTGCTTTTTGACCGGGTCCGGGCCTGGGCCAAAACAGCGGCTCGTGCAATTTTTGGTTTGGATTCGCCCGCCTCACTTTCTTGCTCCTGGGCCACACCCCACCTGCCCAGCTGCCCACCTGCCCAGCTGACCCCCAGCCCTTGTCCCAAGCCCAGACAACAGCATGAATATGATTATATTTCAGTGCCGCATCGTTAATGCCGCGCTTCAAATCTACTTTTGCTGCTGCTTTAATTTGCCACACGTTTTGAACCCCCCCCCCCCCTCCCCCCCTTTCCCACCAAGCAGCAGCCGTGGCAACGTCCGCGTCATCAGCCGAAAGGAATTGAAAGTGCGCGCGCATGCGCAATTAAGGCCAAGTGCGCAAAAAAATAATAATACAACAACACAAAACTAAATAAAATAAAATCAAGTAACTGCGACCCAAAGACAAAAGTGTGTACATAAAAGTCAACCGAAAATAACAGCAACAACAACAACAACAAACAAAGGCGTCCAAGTCGAAGGCTGAAGTGGAGCGAGTGCCGCAAAAAAATTCACTTTTCATATTTGGGGGCACACAGAACGCGACTCCAGCTTGGCAGCCACACACACACACACACACACACACACACACACACACGCGCATGTCTTGTACACAAAGAAAACTTAATTTGTGTATCTTTTCGATAAATTTTCTTAAGCTCGTTCAAGTAGCTTCTCTCAAACATATATTCTAAAAAAAAAAAAAAAAACAAGTACATCTTTAGTTTTCCTTTTTTTCGCTCAAATGTAGAATACTATTTTTTTGAGTGCACACACACACACGCACACACACACGCACACCTGCATGTGCCGAGCGAGTTGGTGAAAATCAACATACAGGTTATACAGATTTATGATCACTTTCTGATACTGTTCGCTGAGTGCATCCGCCCCTCCGCCCGCCCGCAAGTCTATGTTCTTGCAAATGTAGGTGAGCTTCAGCTATGTACATTACGGCGGGCAGATGAGTGTGGGCCTGGTCAGCCATGGATCGAGGTCACGAGCTGCAGTTCGTGGTGAAAATGGCAATATGAATATCATCGTATATATTTTTGCCGATAAATGACTATGGATAGACGTCAGTTTTCGTGCTCTTTCTTGTGTTATTTTTTTTATACTTTTATCAACAAAGCTATATACTAGCCGATATTAGCCCAACTTGCCCAAACTCGAACTCGCATTTCCACCCAGCTTCCATTTTATATAGAAATTAAATTTGAGACTATGTTTGAACTGTTATTACTTTGTAAAAGTCGACGACTTGGAGAGAGGTGTGAAGCATATGTCAATTCAATATTCTTCAGATTCTTAGAAAAGTGTATATGTTTATTCAACGGTTTTCCACCAATTTTCCACGTTGGCGCGTGGAATATTGCGCGTGCATAGTCGAAACGATATTTGCGCTGTTGCGTTCATGTCAATTGACAGGTTTGCCAGCGTGTGTGGGCCAGACGTACCTTCTCACGCAGCTAAACCCGATTTGGATTGAAACGTTCGCTATCAATAGCTGATGTGGTGGGAGTCCGGCTCAATCGCAGCATGCTTGGGCGACGCTGTCATCATGGGCGCAGCGCATGCGAGATCTGCCAAAGAAACTGTGACAAGTTTGGAGATGAGTTTCACATGTCTCAGCCAAGCCCGAAACTCAAGCAGAAGGCTCTCCAGCGTCCGCTGCTCGAGTTGCCAGCAACAATCCACAGCTGCTCCAGCTTCAGCTCCAGCTACATCGACAGCTCCCACTTGCAGTAATTGTAAATTGCACAGAACGCGCATTGGACACGGCTCGACGACTCCGGCAGCGGCTCGAGTTGGTATTTCCTGGGTTGCACTTCCCATGCCGAGTACAAAACAATTTTATGGCCATTTAAGACTGCCATCTGTTGGCTGCCTTAGCGGCTTAAATGCCGCTTCGCATACAACAAAGAAGTGTAGATGTTGCAGCGGGCGTCATATATCTCACGGCAGCAACAAGCGCCAGCAAGCGGCAATGCTCTCTGTTCATTTCTGTTGTTGTTGTCTAGCACGCTACACATTACACAGAAAGGGTATCATCAGGTCGTCTGACAGTCAGCCGAGTCGATCGATAAATATCGATTTTCAGATTTCCAGTATACTCCTGTCAGCATACTCCAAAGATTTATTAATAACTTAATGTGACATCATTTTTACTTAAAATCGATAAATATCGATAATAAAACTTAGATTTGAATGAACTTCAATGCTAATCGATAAATATCGATTTCAATAAGTTTATTTTTAAAGTTCATGTATTCTATAAAATTACGAGATCTATAGATTTGGCTTAGTGCTGCCGCAACTTCTCTATTGTACTAAAATCGATAAATATCGAATCAAGAAATTTGGCATGGAATGTGTGGATAGCTCGCTCCAACAGCAATTCGTAGCTGTTTACAGGGTATGTTAGAGTCGAGTGCTTATGCAGCTTATGCACTTGTTGCTGTTATTGCTGATGTTGGCATAAACTTGGCTCTTAGCCTGACTTATTTAACCATGCAAACAAACGGCCAATCATAATAAGCCCCAGGGCCCCACACATGCGCTTCGACAGCAGCGCTGGAACGGGAATGGGAACGGGATTGGGCTTGGGTTTGGGTTTGGGTATGGGCATGGGCATGGGAGTTGCCACAATGGCAACATCTATGGACATTGCCGCAACATATATTTCGGATTGTTTATTTGTTCTTTGGCAAAGACAACGGCCAATGTCTATGTTATATGTGCGCTGCGATTTCGGGCGAATGCGACGCGCCAGATAAACAAAACCGAGCGTGACTAATGGCTGACCAAGCCCCACGACGACAGCAGCTGCAACGTGGGAAAGCTAACACTCGCCCACGTTTTGATCTTTGCCTAGGATTTTGTGCTAACAGCCAGCTGTGGCAGCTGTGTCCGCTGTGCCAGTGAAAGCGTTGTTGCATGTGCCACGGCTGCCTGCTTCGCATTCGTAATTGTTGCTCTTGTGCCGATTGAAGCGTTGGTCATTTAATTGCATCCAGTGCTGAGCAGCGCCCGTGCCCGGATATTCAGCTGATGCCCGCTCGTTAATTGGCCATGCAATTGATCGAAACTGGATTTGCATATGGCATATGCATGGCAACTGTCATAGCTGGCATTGCCATCATCATTAGCAGCAGCATTGAGCGCGGGCTTCCTGCGCTCGCTCGGCCATTCGCATACTTAGTTTGTGAGTACCAAAAGCAGACAAAGCATAAATTTCAGCTCATTTGCGTCAAATGGTCGCTCATGGGCAAGAATTTGGTATTTGGTATCATTACGCCAACGCGTTTGCGACAATTTAAGGTCAATAGTTTCTCTCTCTCTCTCTCTCTCTCTCCCTCTATCTCTCTCGAACTCTCGCATTTTTCTTAACAATAGGCGTTCAAATGGCCTATGCCTACATGCCTTGAACTATATATAGGCATTCTATTGAGATTTTGTTACACAATTTTTGGTTTTTTTTTTTTTAATATACCCTGTACCCATCACAAAAAGTTAACGCAGTTTCTATCGATATACGTCTGTTGAGAATTTATCGATAAGCATATAAACTATCGAAACGAAATATCGATATTGCAAGCAAAGGGGAAGACAAGTTCGGAGCATTTATAAAAGCGACACTTAATAATATATTAAATATAGTGTATATGTATTGAAGTCTTTCGATTGTATTGTTATCGTCTATCGTTATCGATATCGCATTTCTGTAGGGTTGTTCTAGGTTTGTTCGATTTCTCTAGATTTGCCTGCTATTGGCCAGGCAGTTGAGTGCGCCTTTTCGCTTCAGCTACATTAACAGAGTATCTTTCAGTCGAGCGCTTGCCACAACACGATTTTGACTTGCTTTATTTTGCCAAACTTCAAATTGACGGCGATTGTTGCCCGCATCCATTTGGGCCACTTGATTGTTTCTGGCTTTGCCCATATGGAAATAAATAAACAAAACCCATT